GGGGAGGGGAGGGGGAGGTGGAGGAGGAGGGAGAGGAAGAGGAAGAGGAAGAGGAAGAGGAGGAAGTCCTATAACCACCATCCACCTGTACATAGTGCAAATGATCAGAACAAAACTCAAAGGAGTTCAGCGAAATCATGGTGCGCTATAATATGAAAAAAAAAAAATCAAGTTGAAGTCTGGGAAAAATGTCCTGAAGAAAACAATTGAATTCTTCAGATACCATTAGGAAAAAGTAAATTAATGATATCTAAAGCATCATTGTTTAAAAAATTGGTACTTTTTATATTTACAAAATCTATATCTTAAATATTTGACTTGACAGGGGAAGGGCATGGAATCAGCTGGAAAACTAGTGTCCTCTAAAGAATACAGATATTGGGGGAGGTAGGAGGTGACCAACTAAATGGAATAACGGCTCACATGAACCTGAGTCAATTTGTCATGACAGCACCTGAACAAGAAAGTGTTATTCCCAAAAAAAGCAATTTTAATGTGTTAGACATGAATGTGCTATATTAGAAATGAATGTTCTGTAATAGAAAGCTGGTTCAGTAAGTAAATAAATATAATAATGTAAATAAATATAATGTAATTTGATCCAAAGGATCTTTTTTTTGCATTCTCAGCCCACCCACGCTTTATTGTTAAAAACACATATACACAGTTGTAGAGATCCAACTCTCAGAACAGTGTCTTTCCCAAGGGATTAAATTTCTTCCCCACTCTCCCAAGACTCATAAATTAAGAAGGTACATTTTGGAATGCTTAAAATGCTCAGTGAAGTTCTTTCAACATCATCTTGTTCGCCCTTGCCACCAGTGACACATCAGAAGGTACACAGAAAAGCAACCAAGAGCAACCCTGCCCTTGAAGGGCAGGAAACAGGCTATTAAGTAGATTATTTGAATATTCTTGATTTTTTTCATTCCATAGATGGGTGAATTTAAGCTTCGTTCCCAGATTGGCACTGTTGTTTAAGAGTTGACTGCACACTGAGAGAATCCTTGTCTGATCTTTGGGGTGGGTCTACTGGTGTCAGGGATCCAGGGCCCAGGTCTTCTCCAGAGCTACCTCACAAGCACAAAACACATTTTAATTAAGGACATAGCACAGCTTTTCCAAAGGTAACAAAAATGTTTTGAGAATCAAAACTAACCATAATTATATTCTGACCTGTAAGACTTTAGAAGTCTAAGCTCTATCAAATACCATATGATGTTTGGTTTTCCTGTGTTATCCATTTCAATTTATTGTAGTGGACGATTAGGGACAGTGCTTAGGACACTGACCTTACACCTTTATTGGCTGGCAAATGTAACAGTAACTGACAAAGTATATTCCTACTGAGGGTACACAAAGGACTCTTCTTCTTTTAAAGGTTACAACAATATTAATGTGAGGTCATGTATAAAGTGAGAATGATGGGAAAGAAGAACCACTGGGCTGTTGTCACGAGGCTTAGTGCTGGTTTTCAGGCCTTATTTCACTGGACAGAAGGTATTTCTAAATGCGACTGGTCTCATCTAATTTGCTTGGTTTGTGATAACAGCCTTGAACTGTATTTATAACAGGACTTCAAGGGAGAGAAAGGAGATGAAGGAGAGAGGGGTGAACCTGGACCTCCTGGACCATCGGTAGGTCATTTCAGTCATTTTGTTCCTGTGACACAGAAAGCAGAACTTTAGTTCCTATAGTTAAGGATAATTTTATTCTTTGACAATTTTATGCAGCAATACATTATGTCTTGATTATATCCACCCAGGACTTCCCTCTCCACTCCTGCTGCTCCCCTGGCCCTGACCCCGCCCCTCTGACCACGCCCCTACCACCTTCATGCCTTATTTTTTATCAATAACACACCAAGTTCAGTTAGGTCAATCTTCATCTATATTTTGATGAGTGCTCAACCTTTAAATATTGATATTCACTAAAACACAAATCCCAAGAATGTTCTAGAGTTATTTTGCCTCCATTTCTAGGTGAAATCGCTGCACTATTTTATATGTGTGACCTGTCTACAGCTCCAGCTTTTGAACATCTATTTAAAACTAATTCTTATAATAAATTTCCCTTTTAGATTATTCAGTTTTAAATATGGCCAATAGAAGGGACAAACTATTTTTAATCAATTAAAAATCAGTCATTTCTAAAGCATTTTATAACTCTAATCATACAGGGGCCACCTGGAGACTCCTATGGATCAGAAAAGGGTGCTCCTGGAGAGCCTGGTCCTCGGGTAAGGTGGCAATTCGGCAGCATGTGCAACCCAGAAAAGGCAGAGCTTGGGACTCTGGGTTACAGAGTAAGATGTGCCAACTAGCTGAGTTTTCGTTCATTTGTTTGCTTTAATGTATTTAAGTTTTGGTAGGTGCGATTTTTTTTTAAATCTGGAAAGACTAAAACAAGCTTCAGGGACTTCAGAAACTGAAAGTTTTTTCAGGACTCTCTCCAGTTCACTTCTGCTCTTCTCTGAACACCAGCCCTACTCTGTCCAGCAAATGACGGTCGTCAGTGAAAGGGGGCGAGGAACGAGGTAGAGCCCCAGACAACTTCATGCTAATGACATCTAAGGAAAAACTACAGCTATATGCACTCACACACGCACACACACATGTGCAGAGGTTCAAGATCAGATTGTCCTAGCTTGCTCATTTGTCTCACTCAATGGCTGAGCCACAGGGGAAAGATCTTTGATTGGCTAGTCAGTGAGCTCCTGTGAGTGACAGCTCACCAAGACCAGTCAGAGTGAAGACAGAACACTCCCAAAGGAAATAGGGGATAGTGTGTTTATAGTGGGGTGCTGAGAACAGACACAATAGGGCCCAGTTTCCCCCCACCACCCCCCACACACACACTGAGCTCCATTTGGGAAGATTTAAATCAATATAGCATGCAGAAACTCTAAAAAGCATGCATTCAGGAGGAGAAAGTGGAGTGGGGGTATTCTAGGAAAAATAAGTCAGCTTGCTTGATTTTTACTTCTATCAGAAAGGGTCCATAGCATAGTACTTTGTCTGAAAAACATGTCTGCCAAGACACCACAGTATGCTTTAGATACGTATAGATACATAGATATTGAAATATGTATCTAGGATTTAAGAAATTAGATTTCAAAGCAATACTTTGCAAACGCTTTCTTCTTTCTAACTCCCCTTTTTATCTCTCTGCTTGGTGCTTCCCTGGTTTCCTTCCCACAATGGACATGAGCTCCACTCAGTGTTTGACTCAGATCTTCTCTCCCTTGTTTTAACTCTAACCCCTGACCCTGCCTGCCTTCCACCTTCTACCTTTCCTGGTACAAGATGATCATTGCTGTTCAGTGATTAGGAGTCTTGCCTTATAAAATCCAACACTCAGTGAGGAAGCTCCTGAGGCTTTCCTGTCCCATATTAAAGAGATTATAGCATAGATTTTTTTTTTCTATGTTTACTAAAGTTAACGTGCTTGTTAACGTTAAGTGTTTTTGTTTTAGGGAAAACCTGGAAAAGATGGTGCCCCTGGCTTCCCCGGCACTGAGGTAAGACATGCCTGTTGATAATCATGGAAGTAGCAGCGATAGCGGAGGAAGGTTAGCTGAGAGGCTTCAGGCAGTGTCAGCTTTTAAAAAAACTACGCTTGGTTCTATAGACTCACTGTGGAAAGTTCAACTTAACACCCTTAAAACAAGACCAGTGCTTCATGATCTTCTCAGACACGGTGGTCACAGAAGCTGATCTCTCGGAGACAGTGTGGACGCCTGAGGCTGGGAGGTGTGGTTAGTTGGAGGGACAGGAAGTGGTTAGTCTGTGAGTGCAGGTGTTACGTTTACTTCCAGGCACAGTCTCACAGTAAGGTAACTACAATCAGCACTGGTGTACTGTCTACTTGAAAATAGCTAAGGGGGATTTTAATGAAATTAAACAATTTCAGGGGTAGATGTGCTAGTTCCCTGCCCTGATCAATACACCAAGTATACAATCTAATACAGTGATTACATCTATCACAATCAGTGTGATCTTGTAACATCCATTGAATACCACATGTTTGTACAGCTATTATATGTTGATTTTGAAAATAACTTTTAAATATTTAAGAGTTAAAGTAAGTTCAGACTGCACATGCTTCAATACAAACACAATTGACTCCTGTCTTCTGACCTGCTGTCCCTTTATCTTTTTCTACAGGGAGCCAAAGGCAACAGGGGCTTTCCTGGGTTGAGGGGTGAAGCCGGCTTTAAGGTAATATCCCATCTTTAGCCTTTTCCAGCTGGTTGGGCAATGCCTACGTTAGTTGACATTGAGTTGGAGTAAACATTTCAAGTCTGTCTTCTGAGGTTTGCGCACATAATGAAAGCTGTTGGCATTACTAAGCACGTCATCTGCCCAGCTGGATGCTGCACAAATACTCCTACTTGATCCCAAAGTCGCTCCTGGAAAACAGGTGTGAGTCCCACTTCACAGATGGGAAGGTTGTCTTTTGTGGGGTACCTATCACACGCCAGGCTTTCGCAGGCGTTTCTCCTTCCTCATCCATCCCTTCCAGGCTGTCTGATCCATTCCTGTCTTCAGCCAGGAAATTTCAGTTGCCTGTAGATTTTCTTGTTGTTGTATGTACCACTTTTCATCTCACTTTTGTTTACTTATTGTGGGAAGGCACACAAACCAGAGCCCACTTGTGGAGGTCAGAGGACAACTTGTGGTGGTCGCTTCTCTTTTCAACCATGTGGGTTTGAGGAATCAAACTTAGATAATCAGGCTTGGTGGCAAGCACCTGTACCCACTGAGCCATTTCACCTGCTTTAAAAAAAAAAAAACAAAACAAGCATATTATCATGTTTTTGTTAACCAAGTATTGAGATTAAAAGCTGTGACTTATTGGTGGGGAAGCTAAGAGGTTCATCAAATGAGATGTTCTCAGTTTTCGGCAATGACTCCATAAATATGTGAAGTAAGAATTATTTATAGGAACCAGACATTCTGACAGTCCTATGAAAAGACTCCTCCTCTTGGGTCTTTTCCTCTGCTTCTAACTGTGCTGTTATAATGATGTCTGTGCATTTGTAAAGCAAGCTCGCTGACTCTTGTGTTAAACAGAGATTTCTCCGTGGAGTAATATAAATTTACTTTGTTGATAATTGACAGTAGTCTGAAAAGAAGTGACAGGCCTCTGCAATCTTTTTAAATATCACATTTCTTTAAATGCTGGAAAGCAAAACAATAATAAGAGCCAGGAAAAAAACTTAGCTGTTAGTAGAAGCTGAGGCTGGCTGGCTCGGAACTACCTAGTGAAGAATCACTCCCTATGAGGGGGTTATCAGAAAAGGTCCACCATAGCAGGAATCCATCTGGTCATCTGAGGCCAAGTGTAGGCTTGGACCCTGAAACCTCATCTGGTTCATGTGTCCCTAAAATGTCACAATCAACTAGATGTCTAGTTCCATACCACTTGCTTCTGATATGTTGCAGGTGTTCACAAATAATTCATATATGCCAAGATATATGTTCAAGTTCAAAGTTTGTCTTTTAATAACATTCCTGGGCGAATTTTTGGATTGCCCTCTTGAAACAGAGGAGGTTAGGTACACTAGGCTTTAACTATAACCCTGGCTGTCCTACAAAGACAATCATGTGACAATGTGGCCATGTGGTGGGGGTTTACAGGAGAGCTGGAGAACAAGCAAGCTAACATTCACCTCTTACCAGCCTTGTAAGACAAAAGTCCTTGTAGACAAACATTCTCCAGAAATATGATGATTTCAAGGCAATTACAATCCCTGTAATCTGGCTTGCATATTATGCCTAAACAACACTACCTTGACGTAACTTACTGTCCAACCTTGCATTTTGTTTTTTAACTATGTTACTCTGGGCTTTCATACTCACCTCTAACTGTCTTTCAATTTAGGGATGGAAAGGAGACATTGGACCCCCAGGATTTCCTGGTCCAGTAAGTGTAACTAGAGATAACAGTGTCAGAGTTAAGTTCTTCCAAGTACTTTAATCACCATTTCTCATTAACTGTTAGGATGAATATGAGAGTGTTTACATTTACATCTTGGCAAGGCAAAAATTAGTTGTGGTTATTATTTACATATTTGACAGTGGATAAATATTTCAATTTGATTATGTTTGGCCCTTAAAATGGACTAAGAAAGCCCATCTTGAACTCTGAACAATAAAAATAAACACACAAAACAAAAAGCAAAACAAAACCAAAAACATGGCCTAGTCTCAATTTACCCAAGGCGACTCTGTGTTCTCATGATGGAATAAAAAGGCTGCTTCTGAAGACAGCCAGGTTACCGAGGAATTAAAGAGCCCGGTCCTTCTTTGTGCGTGGCCCACTTCTAACAGCAGGCAACCAGAGCTCAGCCATAGGTTTAATGCAGGTCATCAAGAACCAGTCTCTACAACCCAAGCTCCATGCACAGGGAACACTGCCTGGCCCAACACAGAGGTGAATCTGATGACACTGCAGGCCACATAAGAAGAATGAGAGGGGCCGCTGGCTCTCAGGTCTGACATCTGCTCATTTCTCCAAAGCAATGGGTCTCATATCCAACGTGCTGAGCCGAGTTTCTGTGTGTGGTTGTACAAGCTGTAAAAATGGCCTAGGATGTCATGGGGTACATCTTGTTAAAAGAGTAGTTCTCAAGGCTAGAGAGATGGTTCAGAGGTTAAGAGTGTCTACTGCTCATTCAGGAGACCAGAGTTCAGTTCCTAGCACCTACACCGGGCAACACATAATCATTTGCGACCCCAGTGTCAGAGGTTCTGAGCCTCTGGCCACTTTGGGAATCTGCACTCACATGTGCACACACACACACACACACACACACACTAAGTGAGCTGCTGAAAAAAATGGCTTAGCAGTTAAGAGCACTTGTCTTTGCCAAGAACCTGGGTTTGTCTCCTAGCACAAAGATGGTGGTTCATAACCATTGGTAACTCCAGTTCCAGTGGATCCAATGCCCTCTTCTGACCTCTGGGTATCAGGCACATGAGTGGTGCACGTACATATATACAAGCAAACACTTATATACATAAAATAAGTCTTTATTTTAATGTTGTTCTCAGACTCCCTCTCCAGGCTACAGAACTGTAGAGTGGGTCCCAAAAATATGTATATTTCTGTTTCAGAGGCAAGTCATCCCTAAAAGCTCCTATGGACTTGCTAGGAAATTGTGATGGGCTACTTGTCTTTTGTGACATCATAAATTGTAGCATAGTCAAATACCCCACAGGTGCACACATAACATTGTAGAATTTCTGATGATCACTAATTATGGCCTTGTTACTGATAACATTTGTGATTTAATATATGAGCCTTAAATAAAGGTGGTTGTTACTTTGTTTTTAAGTTAACAAACATACAAATGTATTAGTTTAGTCACATCATTTTTAAAATGTACTTCTAGGGCTAAGAACATAGGTTACAGGCATAAGGCCCTGAGTTTGAGTTTGATCCAGAAAGAAAAAAAATTTTAAATGTAATTAAATTAAATATAATTTCTAGCTGAAAGCCCATAAAATATATAATAATATCAGAAAAGTCTCCTTTGTCTATACATTTATTCACTTGTATGGACATGACTACTGTATACCTGCTAATATAAAAACCTTCGAACAAGATAAACAAGGAAATTCTCCTTTAGGCCAACATGAAAAGACTGAAGCAAATGGAGTTGGCGAGCATTCCACCAATAGCTCTCCTTCCTGTTTATTCTTTGCCTTCTCCTTTAAGACAGAATATTATGATGCATACCTGGAAAAGGGGGAGAAAGGAATGCCAGGCCCGCCTGGGCCCAAAGGCGCTCGTGGCCCACAGGGTAAGATACATTTCTTCCTACAGCCTTTATCCTCATGGTTCTTTCAAGATGATGAGTAGTGTTTACAGAACTTTGACAGTTTCAGGGAAAGGAAGGAAGAAGTCTTCCTTTACATCAGTGGAGATATTTTCTGTGTTTCCAATTTTTATATCTTACATGAAAATTTTGTAAGTGGTATACTTAAAAAAAATTGAATGCTTACTACAATGACATTGCAATCGAATTTAAAAGTGCACAGGGGAACACCTATAATTTTGCAAGCAATTAACTGATGTGGTGTGTTCCCAGGTCCAAGTGGTCCCCCTGGAGTTCCTGGAAGTCCTGGTATGTCTGCAATTTTTTTTTTAAATACTGTTCTTGTAAGTTCATATTACATATAAAAGAAAACTTTTCATTTATTGAAACTAAACAGAGTTTCTAGCGTCTTGCTTGTAGCCTTTGTCGGAAAAGTTGTGGGTGTTAAGACAAACTGATGAGGTAACTCTCAATGGTTTTAAGTGTGAGCTTCGAGTCTGAGCTGAAGCCCTGATTCTCAAAGGTGGCACAAAGATACAGAACGCTGATGTCACAGCAAGTAGACTGGTTGAAAGTAACCATTTTTATTATATAATACAAGGCCTCCAAAGATACCTAAATTATACTTTTTTGTAAAGTTTTTGTTGTGGTGGTTGGTATGGTGTGGTTTGGTTTGGTTTGGTTTGGTTTGGTTTGGTTTGGTTTGGTTTGGTTTGGTCTTGCAAGAAAGAATTTCCCTGTGTAGCCCTGGATATCCTGGAACTCACTCTGTAGACCAGGCTGGCCCAGAACTGAGAGATCCACCTGCCTCTGCCTCCTGAGTGCTGGGATTAAAGATGTGTGCCACCATACCCAGCACTGTTTCTGTAAAGTTTTATGTTTTCATTTCTGAGCCATTTTAATATTCACCTTCCAGGAGATAAAAAAAATAGCATTCTTAAGAACCCATCCCTCTTGACTGTGCCATGCTCTTTTTAAAGAAAGAAAGTTTAGTACATACAGAAATCGACCAGTAGTATGCCTGTATATACCAGCTACATACACACATGTATATACACTCACGTATACACTTTAATGGTGGGTATCTCCCAAAGCTGAAATGAGCAACTGGGTATTGTTTTTAGACATCTGAATAAATATTCAAGATTTCCTTCTCCATTCCAAGCCCATAAGGAAAGTATAGCCTCCTTTAAGAAGACAGTGAACAGAAAATCACAAAATTCTGAAGCATGTAACCATCTGGATTAGCTTTAGGGTTTGGCTTTAGGCTGCACTAACAGCCACAGCTGGTTTCTCAGCTGTTGTGATTGTGATACCACTCCGTTTAATAGTTCAGTTGTTCATGAGGCAGAAGTTCAAAATTGAAACATTGCTGACTTAGAGTTGGATCTATACCATCTAACTTAGCATCTGTATGCAGATATACCTGCCTTCCCCATCCTTTCATGGTGGGAATACATTTTAACTACAACTTGTTCTTTCTCATTTGGGACTGCCAATATTAAGCATCCTCTAGTCTCTAATTAAAATAATAAATCTATAAAATAACACCCATTCAGGAACTCCTCACAAGTCCTTGTACATAAAGCCTACAGCACATCCCAGACTCAGTCTTGGCTCCTTGTAATAAATCACATGAGTCATCTCGTCAGAATGATTTTGCTCTTTGTCTTAATATAATGGAATGTAACAAGGCCACCAAGAAAGGAAGGATATTCACTGTTTGGTTTTACATCCGTTATGTAGTTTCCAACTGTACAACTCTATCATTCTAGCCGGGTAGTGGTGGTGCATGCCTTTAATCCCAGCACTTGGGAGGCAGAGGCAGGCGGATTTCTGAGTTCGAGGCCAGCCTGGTCTACAGAGTGAGTTCCAGGACAGCCAGGGCTACACAGAGAAACCCTGTCTCGAAAAAAAAAAAAAAAGAATTTATCATTCTAATTTGAACTAAAAAATAAACATATTCATCAGAAATAAAAATTAAAACATGACAAATGACTTTTTCTTCCAAGGACTGTCAAGGCCTGGCCTCAGAGGACCCACCGGATGGCCAGGCTTGAAAGGGAGTAAAGGGGAGAGAGGACCCCCTGGAAAAGACACTATGGGCCCTCCTGGACCCCTAGGATGTCCTGGCTCACCAGGTCCACCAGGCCCACCAGGACCTCCAGGACGTCCAGGTAAAGATATAAAACTGAGGGAGTCGGGTTTCTGTTTCCCTGTGATAGATGGTACAATAGAACTTCCAAAGAACAACTGCATCAAGCCCATCTAAACTCAGGCACAGGAGCATGGGCCTGTAGTGTAGTCCTAGAAAATGGAACATAAAACAATGATACATCTTTGTAAGAGCTGGTCAGCATGTATTTTCTCAGAAAGATGGAAACCATGCCTGTAAAATCATATGTTTTTAAAATTTGCTTTTGGGAAAAACACAAATAAAAATTAATGAAGTTTGTGTGTGTGTGTGTGTGTGTGTGTGTGTGTGTGTGTGTTAGTATTGGATTTTTCTATTTGTTCCCTTTGTGTTTTTTCACTGTTGATAATTGAATCCAGGTCCTCATGCATCTCGTGTGTATCAGCCATACACTCTAACCATTAAGCTACATCCCCAGACCTCCCTTAGATACTCCCCCCATAAAAAGCTGATCTCTGATGGTGTCTTTTCCTAGGTGACATTGTTTTTCAGCCAGGTCCACCTGGTGACCATGGAGCACCAGGCAATATAGGACCTCCAGGAGTTCCAGGAGATGATGGACCCAAAGGTAAAAGCCCATGCCCTTTTGTGTCCCTTTTGTGTGAATAAGTAAAAATTAGGGTTTGATTTTAAAAAAGAAAGAAAGAAAGAAAGAAAGAAAGAAAGAAAGAAAGAAAGGAAGGAAGGAAGGAAGGAAGGAAGGAAGGAAGGAAGGAAGGAAGGAAGAAAGAAAGAAAATAGAAGAAAAATACAAGAGGAAATGATGGAGAAGTAATTTGGCTACTTTTGACAATGTGATTGTAGGAGTTTTTATGATTATTTGAGAATTTCTAAGACCTAGTATGCAGATTCTAACTTAACTATAACTAAATCAATAAAGATTATTATGACTTTATAGTAAAAAAAAAAAAAGCCCAAGCCCATCAATGCTTCACAGATTTCCCCCCTAAGTCAGAAAATGACTTCTTTTCCAACCAAATTACCTAGAAGTATTTACTTATCTGTCAATTGGTAGCCCATTTAACATGCAGTGAGTTGCTGGCTAAGTCTAAAGAGTCTATCCTACTTACATAGGGAAAAACTGAGACAGCGGATGCTTTGTGTAGATACTTAGACTTTTCTCTCTCAAAAAGTTATAGCTCACAAGACAGTATCATACATGTGATTGTGAATTGACGCAAACAATGATTAATTTCACAATAACATCAAAAAATAAAAGCTGTTTAAATAACGGCTGGTGGGTGGGGAGTACCTGTCCTTTCTGACCACACTGTGTAGCTGTCAAGCAACACATGTACTGTCCCACTGCAGGAGAACCAGGCAGTCCATGCACCGAGTGCCACTGCTTCCCAGGGCCCCCTGGAGTCCCAGGATCTCCAGGATTAGATGGTGTCAAAGGAATCCCAGGTATGGACAACTTGAATGAAAATGTAGCATTGTAAGGACAGAAAATAAGTGTACTGAGACATTTAAGAGAGTATTAGGTTGCCTAGATGTCATAATGAATTTAATGGAAGAGTTCTGAAGACCCATGAAGTTGGCCAAAATTTCGTAAGCCCGCTATTAGTTGAATTCTTGCAAGACCCCTGAGACTGGTAAAGAGAGTCCTACAAGGACTTGCAGATAAAACACAGAAACTACCTTGCTAAACACACAGCTCTTTCTAGCCCCACTTCTGAGAGACTTGGGGACATATACAGTATTCCAGTGCAATGAAAAATTAGCAGTCATGTATGTCCACAGCATTGAGGGAGACAGTGGTAAGGAAACCGGAAGGGCACATTCAAGAGCCTGTTGGGCACTCTCTTCTAGCCTATTGTACTCTTCAGCATTATAAGTCCTTTTCATGAGAAGAATTTTATTTAAAAGATCAGGTTGTTTTATTTAATATTAGGTGCTAAAGAAACTTTTTGTAGGGGAAACACACCATCAGCCATGTTAGCTTTCCATCTCTAAGACAGACAAAAGACTTGCACATTTGGAGAACTAAATATTTGAAGATACTTGCTTAGCATTGACGACAATGGCTAAAAGTTGAAAACACAATCTAGAAGTCTAAAAGCCACAGTTAGCTAAAGCACAACGGATAACCTAGTCAGATAATAGTCAAAGAGATTTTAAAGTGAATCTATACATCTACCTTTATTCTCATGTATATTGTATGATCCTAAAACAGTGTCTACATGAGCCTTATAAATTTATGAATGTAAACATGTACAATATGTACAAGAATTGAGCAAATATTGTCTTTCTGATGGTAGATTTACAGTTTCCATTGTCTTCTGTGTAATTTTCTTTCAATGAGCATATATAAGAAAAGAAAATATATATCTCCTTAAAATTACAGGGATGGGAGGGGGCTAGGAAGCCAGGATCTAAGGGTTCCAGTTGACAGCTTTTGACTGCATGGATGTTTCAGGCTGGAAATTGTCTTTCTGTCCTCACAGGGAAATATATTTTCTCCGTACACTGCGCTGCTCTGTTCAATAGGTCATAATAAATTGCTTTGCAGGAGGACGAGGCTCGCCTGGTATGAAGGGAAACCCAGGGTCCCCAGGAAGTGCAGGTCTCCCAGGATTTGCAGTAAGATTTCATGGTTCTAAACTTCAGCTTCAGCTTGGAAAGCTGAGGGTTCTGCATCACACATAAGTCTGTCTGTAGTCCATGGCAAAGTGTAGGTCTTTAATTCAGAAGTTGGAAGGTGGTTCATAGGTATTTGCTGATTCAATAAGCAAACTAGTAAATTTATTTATCTATTTGTTGTTTTTAATGGTAGCAGAGGTAGGAAATAGATCATTGTCCCGGCTGACTGCAGAAACAGGGATTAACTCTAGATGGATTTGAGGGATCTGGGGAGTGATGAAGATGCTTTGATACTGATTATGGTTAATATCATTGAATTTTACTGACATATGTATGTATGTGTGTGTGTGTGTGTATGTATATATATGTGTGTGTATATATGTGTATGTATATATATGTATGTGTATGTATATATATATGTATATACATATATAATCAATTTTATGGTATGTAGTTTATACCTCTATTAATATTACTAATCTTATATCATTAAACTATATTATATAATCCTGCTATTAATTCTATTCATTATCATAGTGAATCAGAAAGTTATGTTTGATAACTAAGAGACCCATGTTAGAATTGACCAACACTCAAACACAGTCTGAATCATGATGTTGGTATGGCATGTAGGATTTCTACTACTATGTCACATTGAAGTAATTACTATTTGTATTGTATTGACTTGGACTGTCTAACTGGTTTCTTTTTCAGTTTGGGAAGTCAAAAAACAAAATGAATAAGATGTTTGACATTATATTTGTGGGACAAAACGTTTATATTAATAGTTAAGGTTGGTAGCTTATACCTGTAATCCTAACACCAGATACTGAGAAAGGATTTCTGTGTCTTCAGTATCATCCTGGTCTACAGTTTAAGACCCTGTTTTAAAAATCAACTCCCTCCAACAAAAGTAATATATGCCAAGATGTATCCATGTTCTAGTATTAACCTCTAGAGCAGAAGAAAGACTCAGAGACTAAGGACGGCACATGGGTAGTCTTTATGGAATGGATACTGAGCTGTCTACTCATCCAGAGTTACAGTAACTAATCAATCTCTAACATGTATTTAACAGTACATATATATTTTGTATTTATAGTTTATATACACATATAACTACATATGTCTATCAACAAGTAAATATTAAATACATTTAGGGCTAAATCTATGTCTGTTAAAATTAAAAAGGTGTTATTGATAATGTTTTTAAGTCTGACCAAGGACAGTTCTACCTAAACATCAGGCTGACTCACTTTTGTATCACCATAGGGATTCCCAGGCGACCAAGGGCATCCAGGACTTAAAGGGGACAAAGGGGACACACCTCTACCCTGGGGACAAGTGGGTGATCCAGGTGATCCTGGACTCAGAGGCCTGCCTGGGAGAAAGGGCTTCAATGGAATACCTGGAGGTCCAGGAGCGAAAGGACCACCAGGACCTAGGGGTGAACCGGTTTGTATTTAAGATTCCTTTCCCATTTCCCACCCTGTGGTAAATGCTCAGAAATTAAGAGACAATGTGATTGTCAAAAGTACATAGCTTTCCACTCTAGATAACACAAGGCATCTTTGAAATAACAGTAATAAACCAAGCAAATATCTACAGTGTTTTGATAAATAAAGCTCCGCCTAGTGGCTTAGCCCAGCTGAGATTCTGTGCTGACTCTGGTTCACAGCTCATATGTCAATATGTGGAGCAAGTACATTTGACTACCATAGCCTTAAACATTGTATCTTTCATGCATTTAATAGGGGTTCCTGTTCCTGTTCCTGTTCCTGTTCCTGTAACAAACATGTTCCTCTTGTCACAGGCCATAAATGGAAGGAAAGGGGACCAATGGACCTCCAGGAGCTCCTGGAAAAGAGCCAAAAAAATAAATCAGAGTAGTATATGGATCCATTGGCAGTGTCGTTTTTAGCACAGAGGAAGGCATGGATTTGATCCTCAACAGTGAACAAACTGGCCATGATTGTGCATGCCCATAATCCAAGCATTAAGATTGTGATAGCAGAAGTTCATGGCCATTCTCAGCTACATAGGAAACTCTAAGCCAACATGGGCTATGCGAGATCCTGTCTTAAAAACATGAGAGAGGAACAGAGCTGAAAAGGAGGAAAAGAAAAGGGAAAAACAGAATATGACTAGCAAGGGAAACTTTTAGTAAACACTTCTGGGGTCATTCCTAGTCTTCTAGTAAATGCATAAAAGATACAATGTTTAAGGCTATGGTAGTCAAGTAAAAAGATAAAATGTTCAAGACATTTCAATTTATGCAAATTTTATTCTTTTTACGTGATATAATTTCTCACACATCCACCTGAAAAGGTCATACAGTGACAAACAAAGCTTCTCCATGATAGATAGACCTGTGAGAATTTTGTCCAAATGAATTTACAAAATGCCATCTTTCCCACATTTATGAAAGATCATTCAGATTTATCTGATAAAAGAGATTTCACCTAGAACAGTTTGGAGAAGGTTGATAAGCAAGTTGAAGACACACACACACACACACACAGATTCATTTACAGACTTTCTAACAAGATGAATTTGACGCCTCTGCATGGAGATATGGTAGACAGCTTTTCCTGGTACGTCTACAGAACCAGGGGCTCCCAGGCAGCCTCTTTGGTCCCACTGTTTGAGTTAATATTAACGGTGGTAAAGAGATACTATACTGAAGCATCACCAAACATGTTCCTGTTGTCACAGGCCCTGAGTGGAAGGAAAGGGGACCAGGGACCTCAAGGAGCTCCTGGATCCCCTGGACCCCCGGGACCTACAGGACCAGCTGGACCACCGGGCTATGGACCCCAAGGAGAGCCAGGTCCAAAGGGAGCCCAAGGAGTCCCTGGAGCCCTGGGACCACCCGGAGAAGCCGGTTGGTTAGTTTTTTTCCAGTCTTGCTTTTCTATGAAGTGGGGAACAGTTTTCACAGCCAGCAAAGCTCCTTCAGAACTAATGAATATACATGCAAATGTATTCCTGGAAAATATGTCCTCCCAGAGACTGGGAAGGGACAAGTAAAGACATGACAGAAAAATCCATCTCCCCATCACAGCTCAGCTGAAACTTCCTGTAACCCTCAGTATCTCTGACTGCTATCACTATACAAAATGACTCCATGCCAATGGTTGAGTAGAACTCAGTTATGAGACACTCAAGGGAGGCAAAAAGCCAACAATTTGTTCTGAAGAAGTGTCTTCCCTTGCATATGTGACTCCAGGTTACCAACAAAACTTGAAAATATCTAAGCTATATGAACAGTCATTGATAATAGTTTTAAAGTCCATGTGACTTTTAGGGTCTACAACTACTGAAAGTAATTCTCTGTCCGGGAGAAAAAGGGACAATATTACAGAGAGTTTTCAACAAGCAATGCCGGTATGATCATTTACAATGGTTAGGGTTAGCAGGCTGCCATATTCTCTGTTTATGCTAGGATTTTGGTACCATTCCGTACTATTCATATCTGTCATCAAGCGAAGGCATACTTTTATCCACATGTATGTAAAGCTTATTTTTATGATACTTACTTGTTTTATTTCTTCCAATACATTATTTTGAAGGCTGTTGTTTTAATCCAGGGATTTAGCATGCTGGACAGAAGTTCAGGCCTAGCCCATCAATGCATTTTATGTGGTCCAAAAGTTAAGAATGGTTCTGATGTTTTTAAACAACAGATATCTCTATCATATTTTAAACAATTTTAACAACATTCTGCTGCACATTAAAATTTATGAACTCCTAATTAAAGTGTCCATACATGAGGTTACGGAATATAGCCACACACTGTGTTCTCTCTGGCTGCCCCACAATGGCAGAGTTAAGTACTTGTAACAGATCATAACTACAGAACCCAAATTATTTACTGTCTGGCCATTTACATGACTTATTTGACTTCTTTTAATCTTTCATCCACCCTTTTTTACTTTTCTCTACATATGAATCTAAGTGATGAAGCTCATTATCATAAAACACATTATCAAATTTCCTATCATACGCTGTGAACTATAAAGGTCTTTTACATAAATATATGACATATGACTGTGAGATAACTAATCACGAACATGGCTTCATATTGGCCACTGTGTTAATATTGCCTTCAGCATGTGTCTGCCAGGTAATCGCTATTTCCACAGTGACAGACAAGGAACTTCTCAAAGAGGCTAAGAAATGTGTCCAAACGCATGAAGCTTGCAAACAAACAGGACCAAACTTGAAATCCAGGCCCAGAGTGTTGAGTCACACTTGCTGTTTTGTTCAGTAACCACACTAGCTTTTCATGTTCCCAACCATCCAAAAACCTGGTACCCTACCACTGTTCCCCAACTCCATGCCTAGTGTCTATTTATGGAACAATATTTGACTCAATAGACCAGCCTTCTGGGTTATGGATTAAAGCAGGACTTAAACAGATGCTTATAAATATTTGCAGACCAATTAGAAACGTCTCTGTAGACTGGTTATCCCAAGCTAATTTTTCATTCCATAAAAACAGGGATTGGTTTGTTTTCCTTGGGCTGTGTTTATAACTCCCTCACAATACTTCCCGCTGCTGTGAAAACACATGGTAATGCTCAACCCAATCACACAATCATGTTTTCTTTTTAAGGTCTTAAAGGAGAACCCAGTACATCAATTCCAGTTCTAGGTCCTCCAGGCCCTCCAGGGCCCCCTGGTCAGGCTGGCCCCAGAGGTCTACCTGGTGAGTACCCATGTTGTGAAACAGAGTTCCTGACATCAGATGGCACTCTTACTTCCCTGAGAAAATACGACTCCCGTTATAAGGAAAACATTACAATTTGTTGGATCTGGAAAAGAGTACAAGTGGGAACCAACCTGAAAAATCCAGCTGGCAGGGGGCTTTCTGCTGTCCTTGGAGGTCACCCACACCAGGGAAGTCCCTGGTGCTCCTGATCTAACAGTTCAAAAAGAGAACTGATACAGTTCCTTACAGAGGTTGTAGAGCAGAACGATCCCCATGGCTTCTGGTGGAAGAGCAAGCAATGGCTCCCCACACACACACACACTCGGATGAATTGGAGTGTTTCCCTCAGCACTTTCATTGGAAACTTGATTTCTTTGCTAAAGTGAGTTGAAATTTAATATTATACTTACAGAGGAAGACATAGAGTTCAAGGTGCCTAAGATCCTTTTTGAAGAACAAAGTTATATTTTTAAAATTCATAGCAGCTTCTCACCTCTGGTCACTGCACAGGAATGGGGAGAAAAGCTGAGGTTATGTTAACATAACTTCCAGAAAGCTCTGGAAGGACATGAAGAACACAGACGTTTCTTTTGGAAACAAATGAAGAAAAGTCACTGATGTGTGCATGTACATGTTTTTAAGGTTTGCCTGGACCTGTGGGAAAATGTGATCCTGGTCTTCCTGGACCTGATGGTGAACCAGGAATTCCAGAAGTTGGATTCCCAGGGCCTCCAGGACCTAAGGGTAAATTAAAGACTATACAATATAAGGTTCACTGTGGATATTTCAAAGCTATGATTATGAATAGTGAATAAAATGGGAAATACCTAGGATACACTACCAAAATGATGCTTTCCAAGAACCTTCAGAAATCTTGGGACAATGCCAGGTGAAAAGACAGAATTCACATTGATTCGTGGGAAAATCCCTCAATCATACTTTTTTCTTTTTACATTTTAACTCACTTATTTTGTGTACCATCAAGGATTGGGTTATGGCAGTCAGAGTACAATTGCAGGAGACCATTCTCTCTTTATACCATGTAAGTGCTAGGGATTGAACTCAAGTCGTCAGGCTTCACGGCAGAAAACTTTGTAGACTGAGGCAGCACACAGGCACATCAATCATGCTTTAAAAAAAACAAAAACAAAAACAAAAATGAAAACTGGAAGGTAATTCACCAAAAAAGGTAATAACAATTCTTTGTGGTCGTAAGAAATTTTTATTTAATCCTGTACTTCTTAGATTTATATATTTCTGGACTTCATACATTTTTTTAAAGATTTATTTATTTATTATGTATACAGTATTCTGCCTGCATATATGCCTACAGGCCAGAAGAGGGCACCAGATCTCAATATAGATGGCTATGAGCCACCATATGGTTGCTGGGAATTGAACTCAGGACCTCTGGAAGAGCAGCCAGTGCTCTTAACTCTGAGCCATCTCTCTAGCCCCGACTTCATACATTTTAAAATAAGAAATTAACTATTAAACCACAAATCAGGTTGTTGATATAGTACAGGAGTAGAGTGTCTGTTTAGCACAAACGAAAGCTAAGATTCATTCCATAGCATCAAATAAAATTAAACAAAAACGTCGACTTCCCTGTGAGCTTGGATATAAATTAGAGAAGTTATTTTCCTTTAATAAAAGATGCTGTAGAGGAGCAGTAGAGACGGATGAGCAGTAAGAGCATATATTGCTCTTACAGAGGATGGGATTTCTATTCCCAGAACAAGTGTCAGGCATCTCGCATTGGGGGCAGTAGAGATGGCTGAGCAGTAAGAGCATATATTGCTCTTACAGAGGATGGGATTTCTATACCCAGAACAAGTATCAGGCATCTCGCATTGGGGGCAGTAGAGATGGCTGAGCAGTAAGAGCATATATTGCTCTCTCAGAGAACAGGAGTTCTATACCCAGAACAAGTGTCAGGAATCTCGCACCTGCCTGTAACTCTAGCTCCAGTGAGATCTGGTGCCCCTGGTCTCTATGGACATTGGCACTCACATGCACACGTTGACATACATACACACAATTTTAAAATAATAAAACAAATATTTTTGACAAGTCAAAAAATACGATGCTGTTTTCATCAAAAAGGAAACATTCCAAAAATTGCAGGTGCAGATATTAATAGCTGGAGCTGCTCCTCTGAGCAGCCAACAAAATCCTGCACACCAACCAAAATTCTGTCCAGAATTCATATTAAAAAAACAAAACTCAGGGTATGGACTATTGCATAGAATATTATGAGCTTAATGATAACATTGTATCTGTTTCACCATTGCTTTGTTAGCATATGATCAACATTTTAATGTATTATCTCTTGTTAATAAGTCATTGTTGGCTATCGAGTGCACATCAGTTCTGTTCACGTGAGTGAATACTTAGTAAATAAAAATATAATCCCAAGAACAGCTTTGACATTAACTTCCTGGTTTTCTTCCTCCATGAGATAATGGAGGCTGGCCCATATTTTGCCTAGTCCTTCCTGGACCAACCATCAATATCTTGCACGCTAGTTTTGCAACTCTGGATTCGATTTCTGGACAAAGGCAGCAATGTATGGGAAGCAGAGCTAGCTTAGGAGCTAGGGGACCAGGACACTGTGTTGTACATTTATCCACTGGGACCTGGCCTGTGGATCAGTCAACGGGGTCTGCAAGGGAGAGAGTGGGGATGGAGGGGCAAGAGACGCACAGAATGGAGACAAGACAGGGTGTCTGATCAAGTTTAGTGAAAGGCAATTGCAGCTATATAAGCACAAGCAGGGGAGTGGAGCTGGGGAAACTTTACCACGAGTGCCTTGCAGCTGGTGACACTAAACAGGTCCAGGATATGTCTGAGAAAAACAAGATGTTTATCAGAGTGTGCTCAGCTGTTGTGGACTGCTTGCAAAAATATTGTGCTAGAAAAACAAGTCTCTTGTCAGTGTGGAAAAGTATCAACTTGCAAATATATGTTTCGAGATGGCTAGCCGCTTTCTGCTAGGAGTTGGCTCCCAACACATTTGATTGGTTGAGATCTGCCGCCTCTCTCTCTCTCTCTCTCTCTCTCTCTCTCTCTCTCTCTCTCTCTCTCATAGTTGAACCAAATTTCAAAGCCAATATAATTTGACTTGAAACTCAATTTAGTTGGAGTTTTTTGTTTTTAACTGCTAATTTATCAGTTGGTTTTAATCATCATCAAAAATTGTATACAAGTATCTGTCCACCTGGGTGCCTCATAAATGTAATTAATAAAGAAAATATTGGGGGGCTGGAGAGATGGCTCAGTGGTTAAGAGCACTGACTGTTCTTCCAGAGGTCCTGAGTTCAATTCCCAGCAACCACATGGTGGCTCACAACCATCTGTAATGGGATCCAACGCCCTCTTCTGATGTGTCTGAAGACAGCTACAGTGTACTCATATAAATAAACAAATAAATAAATAATATTAAAACTCAGTAAATAAACAAACACATAAATAAATAATATTTAAAAATATGCCAGGCAGTGATGGTGCATGCCTTTAATCCCAGCACTTGGGAGGCAGAGGCAGGCGGGTTTCTGATTTTGAGGCCGGCCTGGTCTACAGAGTGAGTTCCAGGACAGCCAGGACTACACAGAGAAATCCTGTCTGGAAAAATAAAAAAAAAATTTAAAAAATTTAAAAAAAGAAAATATTGCTCAGAAACTTTGAGACTGATCTCTAGTGTTTGTTGCTCTTCTGTAGGAGATCAAGGTTTCCCAGGAACAAAAGGATCACCTGGTTGTCCTGGGGAAACAGGAAAGCCTGGCCTTCCCGGGAAGCCAGGCATCCCAGGAGCCAAGGTAAGCAGAGACTAAATCACAAACTGATTTCAGAAAGGGGCAATTGCAGTTGGCCGATGCAAAGCCCTTATCAGACAAGATGCTTGGGGGTTAGAAATATATATTGTCAGTATATCTGTTAATAAGATATTGATTTTTTAGTTTATTTGTAGACACTAATTTTTAAGTTCCAGTGGAAACTTGTATTTCTACCCCTTCATTAATGACTTCACAAACATGTTGAGTATACTGGGGCACTCTCTTCAATGGATGTGGGCTGTGTACCCTGAAGCAGCATTTGTACCAAAACTGTTGACCAAACTTGAAAGGAAAATGTTTGCTAAACTGTGGTGTCTGAGCAGACAAATGTAGAGCACACCTAGCAAGTAGAACTGAGGAGCATTCTGTGGGAGACACTAACCTACCGTCTCTGCTACAGGGAGAACCATCAGTAGGCAGGCCTGGGGAACCAGGAAAACCAGGCTTTCCAGGAGAAAGAGGCAGTTCTGGGGAAAATGGAGATATTGGACTCCCTGGGCTCCCAGGCCTCCCTGGATCTCCAGGAAGAGATGGGCTTGATGGTCCTCCAGGTACAATGCCAAGTGTGATTACCTTTCTTCTCTGTGAGCTCCACTGTGGATGCTCTAGGGGGACTCTAAGCATTTGTATCTCAGTAACTAAGTCAGTAAAAAGGCCTAATTCTTTTTTTTTACTCAATGTGGCTGCTCTGTATCCCTTCTACCTTCTGTCTTTCCTTTTTCATGAGGGTCATCTACACAAACATGCCGATGGTATTGACTATAGGCTGGTTTGGGAAAGTGAAGTTACAGAAAGACGACAAGATAGCAGCTCTGGGGCCTTGCTTGGGCTTTGGCAACTAAGCAAACTCCTGGATTCTCTACTGCAGGAGACCCAGGACAGTCTGGACCACCTGGAGCCAAAGGACTCCCAGGGAGGTGCATGCCAGGACCCAGGGGCACCCAAGGACTTCCAGGCTTAAATGGATTAAAAGGGCAACCAGGTAGGAGCAAAGTTTCCCATCTAGGAACTAGATAGGCAGAGGATGAGTCCTCCAGCTCTGTACTTTGCTGTTTAATGTGGCAACTGTCTAGCAACAAGTCCTGACTACTGTTCTGCAAGACATGTTCTTTTGGAAATGTAAGCCTGACTTTTATGGCTAGTCCAAATAGCAGTGTGTACTGGTTATAGGAAGAGACTCGAACTTAATATAGTGAGTTGATTTGTTCATTTTAAGTAAGGAAATATGATCTCCATCAACAGATTAGAAGATAAAGGTTGATTGTCAAATAGATGAGTTAATAATATGCATTCATATTCATAAACTTTCAATCAGTATTTTACTTTTGAAACCTCCATAAGATAAAGAAATAGTAACTTTATGATGATTAAAATGAAGACAATGTACACAAAGTTTCCTGTTTAACAAACTCAAATGTGTAGTTGATTACTTCATAAGCAACATGAAACTAAGGTTTATGAATATAGACCTAAGTGAGCCAGGCTGCTGTGAAACACACCCTGCCTATTTGGACCCTTTCAACCTGACCTGGTTTCCTGGGAATAGTTCCTTAGACCTCCATTAGTGTCTGTAGAATAGTGTCCTGATTACCTGTCATAAACTCTTGGCCAACACGTTAATCATCACAGTGACACTGTTTCTAGAGCATATAGGAGCTCACTTCTCAGGAGCTGCTATGTAGGTCTACAGTGAAAAATTGGCAAACAGGCATAAAACACAGTCCCTGAATGTACCTGCAGTACCGAGAAATAGACACAAGCACTCTACCTTCATCACTGCAGGACCTATGAAATGGATAATGCTAGAGCAATGGGGATTTGGGAATTTTCTAGAGGGAGACAATAAACAGACACAACAATGAGTGTGCTGTTTAACACAACATTATATAGAAACCAACTAACACTAAAATATCACATATATCAGTTGTAGTAGGTAGAGAAGGCATTTGTTAAAACAATCATTTATCTATTCATCTATTCATACGTAGGTAGAAGAGGTGATACTGGGCCAAAGGGAGACCCTGGCATCCCAGGCATGGACAGGTCTGGAGTCCCTGGTGAGCCTGGACCACCAGGAGCACCAGGTCATCCGGGTGAGATGGGGCCACCTGGCCAAAAAGGATATCGAGGACCTCCAGGATTCCAACCACTACCAGGTATCCTTCTGCCACTGTCTTAAGTCTCCTTCCACAGTGTTCCTCAGGTGACCCTGCACACCGTATGCCTTTTCTTCTAGCTAATATCTTTTTTCCTCCTAAATTAATTTTAACAAAGCAAGGAATCAAGGAGCAGAAAGGTGGGAAAGTAGAACCATTACACTTTATAATTAGCTGGGTTATGGTTATTTTTGCTGCGAAGTAATTTTTGTATGAGATACCACCAGTATTTTGTTGAAGTTTTCACATTTAAATTCACAAGAAACATTGGTCAGCAGTTTTCTTAATGATGGCTCAATCTTGTTTGGGTCAGTGCTGGTCACGAATGGGTCCTCCTGTAGTATTTCCAGGAAGAGCTTATGAAAAGTATTGCTACTTCTTAACCACTTGATAGAACTCACTAGCAAAGTCATCTGGGTCTAGATTCCTTTTTTTATGGAAATCCTTTAGTTTATCAGTTCGATGTCTAGAAAGATGGCTCAGCAGTTCCCAAGGGGCCCACATCAGGTGACTCATAACCACCTGTATTAACTCCAGCTCTGGGGATCTGGCAACCTCTTCTAGCCTCTTCAGACACCCATACACATAATTATCAGTTCAATGTAAATTTATAGTGGGAGGAGACCAGGATAACTGCTTAGCTGAGACATTATACTTTGGTACCTATTACTGGACTTCTCTCATGTGTCAGCTTTATTCCTGGTACTAGAATCTGTGACACATCTCCCATAATAAGAGAACAATCAAAACTACACATTAAAACAACTTTAGGGTGGATAAGAGCAAAGTATGATAACATCCATAAATGAAAATGTCAGAATAAGACCTTATCCTTCAGTATGCCTGACCAGGCCAGCCCAGTCAGTCAACAAGTTCTCCAGCACAGGAGAGAGGATTAAAAAGAAAAAAGACAATTAGAAAACATTGTAGCATGGCCCCAGCCAGTTCTGAGGCTAAAGGAGGGTTTATTTTTTCCCAATCTGCTTTTATACCATTTTAATTACATGCAAGTATTAAGGTCAGTTCTAGATTGAGGAACTAGCAATATGATAGATGCAAATAGTCAAGGAACAAGCAAGACAATAAGCAAAGCCCCATGATCAATCCTGTGATCACTGTTTCTAAGGGCTTATCAGGATGACCAAAATATCCAAGCCTACTTCCCTGTCCTAGCCCAAAGTCATTCAATGCCTGAGGCCTACTTCTTTGTTTAGCCTAAGATTTAGATTCCTGACTGAAATTACTTCTCTGTTTTAGCCTAAAATTAAAAATTTAAATTTCTGCCTGAACTTACTTCCTTGTCATGGCTCAAAGTCAGATTCCTGCCTGAAGCCCATTTCCTTGTCCTTGGCCAATGTCAGATTCCTGCCAAGTGGCCCCAAAAACTCTCCACATATACCACATTTTTAAAAAAAAAGGAAATAAAAACTAAATTCAACTAAGGTCTACAAAAGACTAAAACCAAAGGTGTACCAGGAAGAAGGACAGATGTCTTCAGGGATTCAGGGTATGCTGTGGCCAACCATGGTGTTATTAATGACATCTAGACAGATGAAATCTTAAAAGACACCAACCCATCTCTTACACAAACCTGGTCATTTTTTTTATTTACAGAAGACCATCCACTCCCAGTTTCTCTGTCTACATTATTTTATTTTCTGTAATATTTTGTTTTTTGTATTCTATACATCATGAAGGGCTTTGTGTTAATTTGTTGCCATAGGTGAGAAAGGAGAGGTTGGAATGATGGGCTATCCTGGAACTACTGGCCCTCCGGGGCTTCCTGGGAAACCAGGCTCACAGGGGCAGAAAGGTGAGTGAGGACATCTTTCTTGGTGGTATGAGGTGTGAATAGCGTTCACTTACTTAATCGCAAAAGAAATGGCATTTGTTCTTTAAGAAAAAGATAGTTGTCAATGAAAAATGCATTTGTTCTCTCTGTGTTCTGTATTCCCTTCCCCCATTTGACTGGATCGTATTTTTGCCCTGCAAACTTACGCCGGCACTGTTAAACACTGTGTGCTCGGGAACACTATCGAGTTCAAAGCTCTGTACCCCACTTTTGTTTTATATCATATGCATGCTGCTAACCTTTGAATTCTGCCACACTATAAGGATCTGTTGTGGTTACTCCCATCTGTCAGGTAGCCTCGGAATCCCAGGAATAAAAGGGGAAAGAGGGCGCCCAGGAACCAAAGGCGAGCGAGGGGAGAAGGGAAAGCCTGGGCCTTCCCAAGCACCACAGTTAAAGGGGGACAAAGGAGAGCCTGGACTTAAAGGTAAAGAACTGTTCCTGTTTGGAGTTGGCCAATTCTGGGACTAAGGACGATTCTGGAACTAAAAGGAAAACCCTTTACTTGACTGGGTTGAGTCACCTGCTAAGTCACACAGCCATCTGGAAGCTGCATACATTCATTTTGTATAATAATTTAGTTTTATATATAGTTTCATATAAAACTAAATTAGTTTTATATATAGTTTCATATAAAACTAAATTTGTTTTATATCCTAGTTGCTGAATTTAAATAGATACTCACTGATTATTTTATCATAATCCTCAACACCCAGTTTATTAAGAAGTATATGAAACATACGACATCTATTTCTCTGACGTTCACAAAGCAATGTTCACTGCAGCACTAGTTACAGTGACACCAAAGTTACAGAGGCAGCCTAGGTGTCCTTCAACAGAAGGATGGACATACAAAAACTGCTGAATATGCACACTGGATTTATTTTCAGAAGATGAGAAAGAACAAAGGTAGGATGTTTGCAGGAAGATGGATTCAACAAACGATAACTATAAAGTTAACTAATTCAGACTCAGATGAATACCACTGTTGAAACTACTTAATCTCAGACAGGGGGTTTCTACTCCATTTTTGATCATTTAGTTACCAGATAAAACACACACAACTTTTATATTTATAATAAACCTTAGTCAGCACTAGAGCTGGACACATATCTACCCTCTAAGCTATTAGCTTTTACCTCCCTCTCTATCAATAACTCTGAGTTATGCCTTGTCATGTTCCGTTTGCAATGCTCTTAACTCCAATGACCAGCCCACACGGCCAGTTCTTATGATTCTCTTACCCCATGGTGTCTTCTTCTCGCCTTCTTCTCCTTCTTCCTGCTCTTCATGGTCTTCCCTCAGACCCCAAGCCTGGGTACCAAAAGCTCCACCTTTCTCAATTCTGCCCAGCTATAGGCTACAGGCATCTTTATTCACCAATCAGGGATAACTTGGGGGGCAAGTTACATAGTGTCACTTGGGTCTATGTGCAGATTCTCTCATCCCTGAGGGCAATCAGGCCTTGGGGGCCAGTATTTAGCATTACAATACATAGCAAAAGACCAAACTTCAATATGCCATATGTTTTCTCTCATGTGTAGATTGTAAATTTTATACTTAAAAACACTACCATATAGTGTACATGAAATCTAAGTACAAGTAAAGCTGTCTAAGAATACAAAGAAGATCAATAGGAGTGGGGGATGAAAAGGGGAGTGGGGTCTGGAGGGGAATCTGCTCAAAGTAGTTTATATTCTTTCATGAAAATGGCCTTCTGTAAATTATTATAATAAAATAAAAAAATATTATTTTCTTTTTTAAAATTCTCTGACACAGAGAAACCCTGTCTCGAAAAAAAAAAAAAAAAAAGCCAGCTTGGGGACCAGATGTAATGGCATAAGCCCTTAATTTCAGCACTCAGGAGGTTGAGGCAGGAGGATTGTAAGTTCTAAGGTAACCTAGACTGCAGAGTAAGATCTTGTACCAGAGGGGGAAAAGTCAAATCAACAGCAACAAAAACAGTGTTCCTGGTAGAATGGAAACCTCTGCTCCAAGTTCTACTTTATTCTATTAAATATCAGGATAGATTTTTTTTTAATTGCATCGAAAAACATCTTCTCATGTTCCAAGTCCTTGGAGAATAATAGTCAGGAAAACATCTGTTGTCCTGAACTTCAGTCTTTCAGCGCAGTTACTTGTTAGGTGTGACTATTGGACTGAAAATCAAATCTATTCGAATTACTTCAAATCACCTGGCTTTTGCAGGTGTTTTTGTTATACAATATACACAACCAGGATCAAGCCAAATTTTAAGAGGGCTCAAATCTAGTCCTCTTGATCAGATTAGACCTCAAGCAATATTAAACAACAGAATTTCTGGGTAAAATATTACCTTTGAGGATAAACTCTGACCAAAGAAAAAGCATTAAAAAAAAAATACATTGTGACTGCAGAGCCACATTATAATGGAGAAAGGTGTCATGTGGTTTAAGAAATCTGGTATTTATCAATAATATTTTTGTGCTTGGCACATAAGCATTTACTTGGGAGATAAAGGTTGCCACACTTCTGAGTTTAAGGGCAGCCTGCTCTACACAGCAAGTTCCAGGCCAGCCAAGAGGATCCCATCTCAAAACAAACAAAAACAAATTCTGCATAGACCATTGTTAGAAAGACTGAATAGACTCCCCAGGCATACCAAAGAGCTTCCTGGAATTAACATCTGATAAGCCCTGGAGAGAGACCCAATCTAAGAATTTTGCCAACAAAGAAAATGAATGATCTTTGGGAAAAAACTTAATTTATAGAACATACTTATTTTTGGTACAGGAAAACTAGGAAGTAATAGCTATCATCTACTCTACTTAAGTGAAAGTGTTTGTTGTCACTTAGTATGTTTGACACATAGTTGAGGATCACAGATTGAACAACAAAAAGAAACGAGTTATCTAAGCCTTTTGAATATCTGCATGATCCATTTTTTTAAAATATGTTTTTGAATCAGGATCTCACTACATAATCCATACTGGCCTTGAATTCATTATGTAGTCAGGCTGGTTTCAAACTCAAGGAAAGTGTTCTAGATTACTCTAAACAAAGGCAACTTGGGGAGGAAAGGGCTTATTTTGCTTATAGTTCCAGTTCACAATACATTATTGAGAAAAGTTAGGGCAGGAACTCAAGAAGAACCTGAAGGAAAAAAAAAAAACATGGAGGAATGGTGGTTACTAGCTCCTCTCTGGATTACATAACCCAGGCCCACCTGTCTGTGATTGGTGTTACTCACAGTAGGCTGAGCCTTCCCACCTCAGCCATAATCTCTGACAGACATGGCCACAGACCAACCTGATCAAGGCAGCTCTTCAGTTAAGGTTCCCCCTTCTCAGGTGACTCTAGTATCAAATTGACAATACCAAGATAGAGGGAACAGTTTGGGTTGGTTTTGGTTTTTTTTTTTCAATGGTGTGGCCTATCATAGCTTGCACATGTTTTAGGGTATGGAACCTTACACCCATGCATATATGGGCAGCACTAATTAGACTCAGGGGATTGTTTTACAAGGAAGAAAAGGAGGAAAAAGAAGAGGGAATTGGGAAAGAGCTGTGGAAGGAGGGATGTATCCAGGAGGAGTTGAAGTGAGGGAGAAGGGATAGTATCTAAACACATTGTATTCTTACATGAAATTAAGAAGTAAGTGTTAGGAAGAACTGAACCTCCTTATACTGTATCCACGTCTCCAGCCATGTGCCGTGTATGTGGTCAGTGGTTACTTTTTAATGTCTGTGACTTAGGCATTTTTATTATGTTCCAAATACACATGCATCGCTTACTGGTCACAGTGAAATTTAACGGTTTGGTAGTGGGGAAGTAACATTCGAGGGATCTAAACACTGTTTCAATCCGAGCAGCAAATGTTAAGCTTTGTAGGCCATATGAGATCTCTGTTGTATATTTTTATTTGCCTTCGTTTTTATAATCCTTTACCAATTTACATTGGTACATTGTTACATCATTTTTACATCCTTTGCTCTAGAGCCATAAAATCAAGCCAGGGCCTGTGGGATGACTCCACAGATAAAATAAAAATGCTTGCCACGTAGACCTACCTCAGTTCATTCTTCAGGCTATATGAAGGCAGAGAGACCCAACTAAGTACATACCTGAATGAATGGATGAAATCAAGCTATACATGGCCTGCAGGCTAGAGCAAATGCATGCAGTGAACAATATACATGCTTAGATGCTGACAAACGGAAAAGCAAAGGGTGGAGAACAATCTAACTCTTTTACCAACCCTTTCTCTGCATAGGCTATTGTCTAACCTGGGAATCCAGTCTTGTCCTATGCTTTTTCATTCACTTAGCCACATGTCTTTAATGCTGAGCCACAAAACAGTCTCTCTCAGCAATTCTCCCTTGGGTCGCCTATTGGGCCCAACTGTATCACAGAACTTAGCTCACTGGGTGGCAATTATCTGTTGCTCCACTGTCTCCTTAATTAAGCATGGAAAACTAGGGAAGGGGAACAGGGCTTATTCTTGTTTCCAGAGCACAGCACCAGACCTGTCTGTTAATTAGACACTTAATCCATATGTAAATAGGTATATAAACAGGAAAAAGCAAAAGCCAAGGCCAAGGACAGGCTGCAGAATGTTCCATGTAGTTAGGGAAGTTTCTAATTGATGGAAGGAATATCGGTGAATTTAAATGAGTAGGAGAATAAATCAATCAAAGTCAAGTTTTAGGGATAAAGGGGTGTCCTGGGATGTTAGTGAACTTCCTAGCCATGCAAAACTACTTTCAAATCCTGGTGCTGTTGCTGCTTGACCATGTGATTCTAGACAGGGTCTTTAACTTATCCAATGCCTAATAAATCTTAACAAACGGATTGAGAATAGAGTTGTTTACATAAGAATTGTGTCATACATTGCTTTACTACAAAAAAAAAAAAGGAAGAGGTATTTAGGCTGCTAAATCTTGTGCTTGTTCGCAGTCTCAGGGACTGGGCCCAGTGCTTCACACATGCTAGGGAAGAGCTCTACCACTGAACTACAGCACAACCTTTCAAATGTTGCTTGAAAGCATCTCATGACAAGAGTTGCCGGGTTCGAGCCACACACTGTGCTAATGGCTTCTAGACCTCAGTTCGTTCAATTCCTCTAACAAAGACAGAAGCCTACACCTCTCCATGCTATTGATAAATCTGTAATGCTGTACTTTGGCAATCAGTTTAGACCAGGGTGTGGAAGAGTCTGATGAACTTCCGTTTGCTGGCTGAAACTCCCAGCCACATGAACTCTCGACATGACCTTTACCACAGAGCCATACCTCCAGCTTCTAACACCTGTCTTTAAAATCTGCTCTTTAGGATTTGTAGGAAATCCAGGTGAAAAAGGAAACAGAGGCAATCCAGGGTTACCAGGTCCGAAAGGCCTCGAGGGATTGCCTGGGCTACCAGGCCCTCCAGGTATGGCTAATTCTCCAATAGAAACTTCATGTTCTAAGCTTTCCTAGACCTAAATGTAATAAAGCTTACTTCTAGATTCATTAGGTCAAACACAAAATCTGCCCGGAAAGTGTTCCAGGAGAAATGTGTTCTAAATTAAGCCAAAATAAATGTATTCGGTAGCTGGCATCGATTTGTTCTAAATTAAACCAAAGTAAATGTGTTCAGTAGCTGGCATCGATGGACTGATAACCATCCTACACGTGATTCCATTTTTATACTCAAACCTTTTACTTTTAACATGTCAGAGATAAAAAAAAAATTAATGCTCTAGTTATTTTCCCTTTTGTGTCTTCCTTTTGTAAACAAGTTATTGAGTATTCAAAGCAATTTTAAGCTATTAAAGTAGTCTCCTATCCCAGGCCACCTCAGTAGCAAAATAACTTACATGGCAATTAACCTTCAGTATGCTGACAGACTGAACTGCAGTACACTGGGTCAGAGGAGTCACTCTTTTCTGCTGATGTTGGTCTTAGGATGGTGGCTTTGAACAGGCCTAATAATAAGACTCTCACCTTATCCAGTTTTCTGAATCTTAAGTCCCCAGTCCTATGGTCAGCCCTAGCTGAAGGCAAAAGAACAATTAACAGCTAGCCTAGGAGGTCTGCACTTACCTACTTATAGGGAACACGTGTGACGGAACTAATGACATCCTGTTACTATAAGCCCTCAAAATCACAACAACTGTAGATTTCCTGTGCTTTGAATTGTTTTGATTTTTCATTTAATAGAAATTTCTGTACCTATCTACCCATGAAAGCAGAAGATATCTGTTGAGCACATAAACCCAGGAACTGGTCATGTGACTCTATTTCTTCTCAAGGCCCTAGAGGAGATCCAGGGAGCAGTGGAAATCCTGGAAGACCAGGACCACAAGGCATGCCAGGAAGCATGGGGAACATGGGGGTGCCAGGTAACGCTATCATCCTGTTATTAGAAGCCAGGGAGCCCACAAGTCAGAACTGTAGATTTTCTGTTTCTTTATTTTTTTTTTCATTTAATAGAAGGTTTATGTCAACAAGCTTTGCTTTTAGACAAAGGTTCTGTGTGGAACTAGAACATGAGCGGTAACAAGATACACGTGTTGTCTAGCAATCACACATTATATAGCCCAATATTTATGATTCTGAAAAGCCATCTTCTTGGAAAATGATTCATATAAACATCAAGATGGGATACTGCCAGATCCCTCCTCTTTTCTTACCTGATATCTGTCCTCATTGCAGGTCCTAAAGGGAGAAAAGGAACTTCAGGACTTCCAGGTCTAGCTGGAAGACCAGGTGTGCCAGGGATCCATGGTCCCCAAGGAGATAAGGGGGAGCCAGGTTATTCAGAAGGTGCAAGGCCAGGACCACCAGGACCAAAGGTATATAGACCACTGAAACAGTTACATTTTGGCAAAGATGGGGAGCCTTAAGATATCAACAAAGACCAGATTCGGTGCAGGAAGAAAAAAATGAAATTTCTATACATTCAGGCAGCTATGGATTTTGATTTTGTTACTGATAGCGGTGGTTTTTGTTTGTTTTAAACACATTCCTATTTATTTCCACAATTGAGGCTGTTTCATGCTCTCAATTTGGGAAAATCTATTTCAGCCACCAAGAAATGTCTTTGTCCCTGCCACTTAATTGTGCTCACACAGGAGGCAGTAGTGACAGGCCCCCAAAACTGACAGGGCAGGGTTTCTTTCCTCCAGATATGAAACTTTTTGTTGTTGCTGTTTCTTGTGTGGAGATTTTGCATTCTATATGTGAAACTCTTTTGTCTTGTTAAGATAAAATAAAAGGCATAGAATAAAGTAGTTCTTCAGCATCATTAACAAGTAAACTCCTAAGCTGCCTGTATGTCTCCTTGTGTTAGAACATTTAGAAATGTCTTCACTTCACTACGAAGAACGTTTTTACCTTGTGGCAGTGTTCTTCCTCAGAGCCTGTGTCCTCTCAGACTGAGGCGGGCTATCAAAACTCTTTACAGGTGTGGCAACCACATGCTGTTTCAGTGGCATTGGCTTCTCTTCTAGGTTCATTTCCTTCAAACCTTCTTTTTTTTTCTGCACTTACCCTAAGAGTCAGAGATGCACAAGTATAGAGTCATTAACAGGCATTCCAGAAAGCAGAACTTTTTTTTTTTCCAAAGATCAATTTGTTTATCATGTACACAGTATTCTGCCTGCATATACACCTGTATAACAGAAGAGGGCACCAGGTCTCATTATAGGAGGTTGGGAGCCACCATGTGGTTGCTGGGTGTTGAATTTAGAATCTCTGGATCTTATCCTCTAAGCCATCTCTTCAGCCCCAGAAGCAGAGTTTTTAAATGAGGGATTTCATGGCCCTCCCTGATGAAATCTGTAGCATTCCAAGTGACCCACTAACCTAAACTGTATGTAAAGTCCTCGGGTACATGTTTTTGTAAGGGGAGAAGATAGTTTTCTATCAGATGTTCAAGGGTTTAAGGATCCCCTCAGAAACTGACTCTCTGGAGCCATCAGAGTAGCATCTTCTCTCCTACTTGTCGTTCTAGCACTTGGGAGATGGAGACAGGATGAGCCGTAGTGAGCGTCAGTCACCCTTGACCACGCAAGATAGAAGCCAGCCTAAGCTACATGAGATCCTGTTTCAAGACAGGAACAACAACAACAACACAACAACAACAAAAAAACATTGCTATTATTATTTCCATTTTCTGCAGTAGTCATCAGAATGAGAAGGAAAAATTTTAGAAACTGCAAAGACTTGAGAAAACAAGCTTTTATTACTTGAAGCACAATTTTAGATTTCTTTTTTCAGAAAATCAGGGAGACGACTTCCACTGAGGTATCTTTCTCCAGGGCAATCCCATTTGATCAGATTCTTATTTAGTTCATTACCAGCTCTGTCTAGATTCGGGTTTTCACAGGTAGTAACCACACGAAGTGTTTAGAGCTCTGCATTGGCCACAGGCTGATTTTTCTCAGGTTAGGGAGTCCTAGTATGAGAATAATATATTCCAGTCAGCCTGGATGGAAATTGTATAAGTCACCACCAACCATGAATGATCTGAATTATCATTAATCTGAGATACAGATGTGATGGATAGTAAAGCAACCAGATTGGTTTTTTTTTAAAACATCTGATTGGCAGACATAGTTTCTTTTAGCATTGTATCTACAAGACACTTATCAGTTTAGCCTACTTCTTATTCCCTGTCAGTTAACACAATGTTTGTGATTTTTCTACTTGTGTGATTGTTTGATAACTCTCTTCCAGCTGGACTCAGAAGTCCTTGAAAGCAGGGGGCTGTGTGAATTGTATATGGGTATTCAGTATTCACATAAGTCCAATCCTGTCCTGGAGTCCATCTTGGTTAAATGTTCTGCTCTTGTTCTCTTGAAATCCTTTATGTGTCTTTAAAGAGTGTGTGTGTGTGTGTGTGTGTGTGTGTGTGTGTGTGTGTGTGTGTGAGAGAGAGAGAGAGAGAGACTGAGAGAGAGAGAGAGAGAGAGAGAGAGAGAGAGAGAGAGAGAGACTGAGAGAGAGAGAATGCTGCATTTTCATTTTGCATTGGGCCTCACAAAGCACAAGACTAATCTATTCCTCACACATTTCATGGTGCTAGCTGCTAGCCTGTAAGCCTGTAGCAAATACACAGCAGAGATTAATATGTCAATAAGTCGTTTTGGGGTTTTTTGTTTGTTTGTTTGTTTGTTTAACTTAATCCTAACTACATATCCTGCTTATATGAGAACTTTAAAGGTGTTTGACTGAATTTAAGGGCGATCCAGGATTGCCAGGTGAAAAAGGAAAGAAAGGAGAAAGAGGCCTACCTGGGCCACCTGGACAGTCGGGGCCTGCTGGACCTGATGGAGCCCCAGGAAGTCCTGGGAGTCCTGGCCACCCAGGTCAGTGTAAGAGTAACTTTTATTTGCCTGATGTAATTGTCACCTCCAAAAGCTTACTGCTGCTGTCTGCTAACCTAGGCCTAGTCCTGGAAGCTTCTAGGCTCTGTACAATGTGATCTAGAAAATCTGTTGTTTTCAACCTCTGAGACCTGCTGCTGAGTAAGCTCACCCCTTTCTAGTTCTTTGTGATCTCTGACTCGCTGGTTCAACTCAGCTGTTCTGGCTCAAAGCTGACTCCTCTCTTGGCCTCTGATTTTTTGTGCTGCATGGCCTCAAACTAACATTGGCAATCTGTTCTAATCTTCTGGCTCCTTCTCTGGCTCATTCTGCCTTCAACCTGTCTCTGTAAAACTCTCCAGGTAAAACTACCTCCTTCTTTTCTCTCTCTGCACTCTTTTAAATCCCCTCTCTTTTCTCTCTCATGAAAGTTGAGCATAGCCTACTCTGTCAAATCTTTCTCTGACTCATCACTTTTTCTGCCACTCACACATCACTTTCAAACATGGGTGCTTCCTTCTACAAACTAACTTCACCCTGTTTGTATTCCAGCAGAGGGATTAAAGGTGTGTGCTAAAGGCTGAGCCACACCACCAGTAGAAACAGGTTTTTCCAGTAAATAACACAATCCAGGGGTTCACAGTGTTATCAAATATCCTGCAACAGGTGAGCCCTGGCTTTACAGCTCTCAAAGGTAGCAGCAGTGTGTAGAACGGTCCTTACATTTTAGACTCACCTTTGTAAACAGAAAGCTGCATTTCCAGTGTGTGTACAACAGTTGTTTTGATTCAACTTTGAACTTCAAATTCTACAGCACTAAAAAATGGTGAGGTAGTTAGGAAGGCCTCATTTTACTGTTTAGCAGACTGAAATCTAAACACCTGATCTTGTAATCAAGAAGTCTGAAGTTCTGCCTCAACAAATTCAGCCTAGAGACATGAAACAGTACTTCTTGCAAAATCTTAGGTTAGAACAACATAGCCAGGCTTCTAACAAAAGCATGGATTGGGTGACTTAACAGATGCTTGCTTTCTCACAGTCTAGAAGCCAGAACTCTGAGACAAAAGTGCTGGTAAGGCTGGCTCCTGTGAGACCTCTGGGCGTGGCTAGAGCCATCTCTTCCTGTCTTCCCTTGTGTTTGCATCCTGATCTCTTACAAAGATGCCACTAGTGTTGGTTTAAAGTTCTCACTTTTGTTGAACTTTACAAAATATTTTAAATACAAGTTTTTAGCTTTGTGATCATTCATTCATTCATTCATTCATTCATTGTCTGTGGGGGTGGTGTGTGGTATCCACATGGAGGTCAGGGGACAACATGCAAGAACTTGTGGGAATCAGTGCACTCCTTCCATCATGTGAGTCCTGGGGATCAAACTCAGGTTGTCAGGCTTGGCTGCAAGCACCACTACCCACTTAGCTATCTTGCCAGCTCCAATTTTTGACAACCACATTGCTAAACACAATGGCTTTCTGAGGCACTGGGGGTTAGGACTTTAGTCTATTAATTTATGACGAGCATAATACCACCTGTATGTAGTGCTATTTTAAATCTTTTTTTTTCCTGACATGTTTCTGATCTGGATCTTGTTATCCATGTTAGCTCATAACAAGTGTTCATTTTCTTTTATTAAAAACAATTGCTTGGCTGGAGGTGAAGCTCGGTAGTGTAGCATTTCCTCACATACACAAGGTCCTAGGTTCAATTCCCAGCCCTGGCAGGAGGAGGAAAAAGGAAAAAGGAAAAAAGTATTTTTTAAAAGATTTATTTGCCGGGTGGTAGTGGCTCACGCCTTTAATCCCAGCACTTGGGAGGCAGAGGCAGGTAGATTTTTTAGTTCAAGGCCAGCCTGGTCTACAGAGTGAGTTCCAGGACAGCCAAGGCTACACAGAGAAACCCTGTCTTGAAACCCCCCCCCAAAAAAAAAGAAAGAAAGATTTATTTATTTTATGTATATGAATACACTGAAGCTGTCTTTGGACACACCAGAAGAGAGCATCAGATCCCATTACAGATGGTTGTGAGCCATCATGTCACTCCTGGAAACTGAACTCAGGATCTCTGGAAGAACAAACAGTGCTGTTAACCACTGAGCATTTCTCCAATCCTGAAAAAAAAAATGTATTTAATAAATCTAAAAAAAAATACAAACAAACAAAAAGAACTTGCTAAACTATGAGGTCACAGGTGCAGGCTTGCATAATATATTTATATATTATGCTATATGCATTTAAGTGAAGGATTAGATAGATTTGCAGTTAGCTCCTGATTCTAGCAGTTAGTCAGATATTGAGCAGTTTGTATAGGGATCGAACTTAGGTCATCAGGCTTGGCTACAAACACCTTTACCCACTGAGCCATCTCGTCAGCCCTAATTTTTTTAAACCACATTGCTAAATACAATGGCCTTCTGAGTAGCTGGGTGTTAGGACTCCAACATAGGAAGGAAATCACAGCTGTGTGGTTTCCAGGAGAAATGTTTTTCAGAACAAATGTATGAGGTGACCTATCAGGAATTTCCTTAAGGGCAGCCTGAGCATGACTGACGGGAGGGACTGCCTGTTCGAGTAGCTGATGTGACTAACTCCTTACATCTTGGCCTTCTTTTTCTCTCCTCTCTCTGGATCTTTAGGTGAACCAGGTCCTGCTGGTGATTTGGGTCTTAAAGGACAGAAAGGCTTCCCAGGCCCTCCAGGAAGCACTGGCCCTCCAGGTTTCATTTTAAAACTTATTCTATCCCTCTGTCTGGAGAAACACACTTTCTCCTTGAGATTAAATTGTCTATGTATACTGTTCTATCACTTGCAGAATGCAGAATAGGGGTTGATAACACTACCTAGTTGAAGTATCTGCCAGTATAAAATACCATAGTCATCTCAGGAGAGTGATAATCTAGGCATAGGTTTTTGGGTGCTGTGATTTGTTTTGTTTTGTTTTGTTTTACTATGAATGCAGTTACACATAACTAGAATTCTGAAAAATCAGTACCTTTGAGCACTTCCCACCTATCTCCCTGGTATTCAGTAGGCCATCAGAAGGGGGCCCTGTCTTTGAGTGACATGGTTTGGGTTTCTGTTTGTTTCAGGCCCTCCAGGACTCCCAGGGCTTCCTGGGCCAATGGGTATGAGAGGTGACCAAGGACGTGATGGAATTCCTGGTCCTCCAGGAGAAAAGGGAGAAACAGGTACATCTGCTCTTCATCTATATATACATATGATTGAGTCATATATATCATCTAGAGACATATGATTGAGTATGTGTGTGAATGAATCTGTATACATACACTATATATTATATATTAATTATACATTATGTTATGTTATATGTTTGTTGTATGTTATATGTTGCATGTTATATATTATGTGTTATATGTTATTATATGTTATATGTTATGTTATATAATATGTAGATTATATATAAGTATATATAGATTATACACTCTACATCATATATACTATTTATATAGGCATATATAATATACAGAATTCTATATATAATATATGGTTATATATTATATATTATATATTATCTAATATTATTATAAATAAACATAATTTAGTATGCACACCTTTAATCCCAGCACCTGGGAGGCAGAGGCAGGCAGATTTCTGAGTTCAAGGCCAGCCTGGTCTACAGAGCGAGATCCAGGACAGCCAGGGCTATACAGAAAAACCCTGTCTCAAAAAACAAACAAACAAACAAATAAATAAATAGTCTATAAATATATTATATTTTATTATGTATATATTGTTATAATTATATTGTGTATATTATCATAAGTTATGATAATTACCATAGGATATATGTATATTATATATAATTATGATATATTATATATAAATATACAATAATTACATTTGGAATTATATATGTAATATATAGTGTGTGTGCAAATGTTTATGGAGTCATTCATGCCATAGCTATTTTGTAGAAGAGCATGATCTACAGGGGTTGATTTTCCCTTTACCCCACATCAGTCCTGGGGGACTGAGTTCAAGTCGTTAGTCTGAGAGCTACCTCACTGACCCTTGTCTTTAATATTTGTTTCACCCACTGATTTATTAATAGCACTTAATTCCATGTGGCTCTAATAAGTCTTCACTGATAGAACGGATGATCTCTGATACCTCCTCAGCATGCATCGATTGTATTTCTTTCACATATAGGATGCAATGAGATCAATCAAGTGCTAATATATCAAAATTACCTCTTACAGGCTTGCTGGGGGGCTATCCAGGCCCAAAAGGGAGCCCTGGTGTACCAGGTAGGCATTTCTTCTTCTCTGACCTTAAAGTGCCCATTTCCAAGAGCAGAATCTACTTCTCTTGGTTTGATTTGTCAAACAATGTAACTTGGCAAGTGAAAGATGCCTTAATGATAATACTAAATACAGTCTTAATAGTCAATTAAGGCTATCATCACAATAAAGAAAATGTTTCCAAAGCTGTGTCCTGGCCTATCAGATTTTCTTCTATGCAAGTTTTTAAAGCTATTCGTATGGATTTGTATTATTGCTGCTGCTGTTAGCTGTTTATTGCAATGGCTCGACTCCTACAAGAATACAGGTGGAGGTGGCTTCCCTGTGAACAACTCTTCCCTGATGTTGAGGTATAGGGGTAGTGCCATTCACCACTTTGATTCCAGCCCTTGCATCGAGCTTGTGGTTCATGTTCTTGCTTTTCAAGGGCTACCCTGAACCTCTATCAACATCTGAGACACAACAACTTGTCTAATATGTTCCTCAAAGCCTATGCATGTTTCTTGACCCACCATAGGTGTATCTTTCTCAAGCCAGTGTCATATAATAGGCAGAGTCCTTGAACTCTTTTCCTTTTTGTAGAGAAAGAAGCCAAGAGAAACAGTAGATTGTTTGCACCTTTTAGCAATCTTTACTATCCTGGCATCCTATGAATAGGAGTGTTTCAAGGTAGTACTTATGCTTTCTTCATAACAAATGATGCCATGAGACCCTGCAGAAGATGAGCTGATGTTGAAACTGAAGCACTGGATCTGGAGTGTAAAACAGACAGGAGCTGCTCTTTCCTGTCATTTCTTAATGACTTGATTGTCCTTTTGGTCAGTCTCAGTGTTTGTACACTGAGCCTTCCATCCTCTACAAGCATGGAGCCTTTCCCTATCCCAGTGTCTAGTTGTAGAATTGTATACAAAAGAAAAGCTTCAGTTCGTATACTTAGGCTAAGCTAAAAACTCACTGGAAGAGAAATGCTGTATTTGCATTACTCTGCATTTGACTGTAAATAAATTTTCAAAGGGAAAAAAATCACACCTTAGATCACCACCAACAACAACAACAACAACAAACAACAACAACAAAAGCTTTAAAAATAACGAATAGTCCAATTATGCAAGTGATCACACACCTCAATGCTTCAGGGATAACAAACATGAAGAGTTCATCAAAACTTGGAAGATACGGATTGGTTTGGTTGGTTTATTCTCCCAGATCCTTAAGAGAACTCAGATTAGAAAACAAAGAATGAAATTTTTAACAAAAATGTAATATAAAACCCATGTCATGAGTGCATGAGCTCACTGCTGGACAAAGGCAGCACTACAAGAGGAAGACACACGCTGATGCCCTCTGAGCACTTCCTTTAACAATGGGAATTACAGGCACTACCAGACGAAGGAATGTGAATCCACCAAGGACTATACCAGAACATTCAACACTTTGACTCTCTTTCTCACCCTAGATCTTTACTACCTACCCAACAGTGACCCACCCATAACGTTCCTCCAGCCAACAGCATTACTCTCACCTCTCCTATATTCACACCATTTACTCTCACAAATAACATGGGTTGGAGGTATAGAAAGTAGAGAGATGGCCCAGATATTAAGAGCACTTGTTGCTCTTACAGAAGTCCCACCATCAGATGCATGAGGCATACAACCACATCTAACTCCAGTCCCAGGGGATTTAATGCTCTCTTCCGGCTTCTCTGGGCACACTCATGGAGCACTACATACATACATATAGGTAGAACGCACTCATAAAATAAAATCCATAAGTCATTTTTTTAATTAAAAATAAAAAACCATAGAGATGGGAAAGAGAAGGGGAGATTGTTTCTAATCCATACTACAGCTTTCATCCAGGAATTTCAAAGCACAGTTTCTTGAAGGTTTTCTGAGACAACAAATAATAATACCTTGTACATTGTGACATTTCTGGGGTCTTCTTCAGACCTCTTACCATGCTTCTTCCCCCCTTGACTCAGTATCACAGCTGTGGGAAAGATTCAGCCAGGAGACTGAGTAGGACTACAACTACCTCTGTGTCTAACTGGACAACAATTCCAAGCCCGCATCACTACCCTGAAGTTTAGCATTTCTCTGCTCTATTTGATTATCTGTAAATAATAATAAATAATAATGAAGCTAATCAATAAATAATGTCACTATAAAGCCACCAAATAGTAACTGCGACTTACAGATGCACTACACTTAAGATCCTAAAATAGCATGCCATTTGTCTATATGTGAGGTAAATGTTTTCAAACAGCTGAGCTGTGACAGGAATATTTTTACTTTTAAAATAAGACAATGAAAGAGCTGAAGAGAGGGCTCTGTAGTATGAAATATACACTATCTGTAATATCAGGACTGGGAAAGCTGAGACATGCAGATCCCTGGAATTTGATGATCAGCCATCCCAGGCAAATCAAATCTCTGAGTTCACTGAGTGAGCATTTTTCATTAAATAAAACACAGGAGCACACACACACACACACACACACACACACCAAATAAAGTCAGACAACAGATTTGTAAAATGTAGTGATTTTGCCTAGATCAACACCTAGTCAGAGGAAGACCTATAGATCTGTATTTTAATTCTCTGGCCTTTCTTATGTAAAGAAAATACATTATGAATCTTCACATTTTCAAAGAAAGTGCCTACATTACTGAAGCTGACCACAAACTGTAAAGCCAACTGAGTTTTCTTCTTTGCAGGTGTCAAAGGAGACAGGGGAGTTCCAGGCTTTTCTGGCCTTCCTGGCAGGAAGGGAGACATGGGGGATGTTGGACCTCAAGGACCCCCAGGCGCTACTGGACTCCCAGGACCACCAGGTCTACCTGGGGCAATTGTGCCCGGCCAGAAAGGAAACAGAGGTCTCCCAGGCTTAAGAGGAAATCCAGGTAGACTGCTTCCTTCCACAAGTTGGAAGGGAAGTAGCATCTGACATCAGATGTGTTCTTTCTGCCATAATCTCATGGCTTCTTGTTTGTTCCTGCTCTTCTTCTCTCCTCTCATATCCCTGACTGTTGTACGAAGTGAGTTGGTGTGGTGTGGAGGGACAGTGGCCTGGGTAAAAGATAAGTACATTTAATTAAGAATCCTAAAGACAGAGACCTCTATTGTTGAGCGTGTACTATGCATCAGGTCAGATGCTTCCCCACAGACTATCTTCTGGGAGATGTGGTTCCTTCCTGCTTTTCCTCATGCTTCCCTGGCATGTTTTCCCTCCATCTTCACCACAGGCCCACCTCTCAGCAGCAAAGGAAAGGGTGTTTGGGGCAATAACAAGATGTGGAACTTGTGTTCCATTTTGAAAGAATCTATGACAGAACTCTTGAGAATCCTCCCTTACTGGCAACTCTGATGCACTCTTTGTGAATCCAGGTGAACCAGGTCCCCCTGGACCTCCAGGACCTATCGGGAAAGGCATAAAAGGTGACAAAGGATTTATGGGCCTACCTGGCCCCAAAGGTCTGCCTGGAACTGTAGGGGACATGGGCCCACCAGGTCACCCGGTGAGTGTGGCATGTTATCAATACAGCCCTGCCTTGCTGTTGTGACACTGCAGTCATATTGTATATATCAGCACTGGTCACACTTGCTCACTATTCGTGAACTGTACTATTAACTCTGGTGAACTGACTACTGTGCATGATCAGCTTCACCTGGATGCACCACACATTCACTCTTTGTGATACACCTGCATGCTGATGTGATATACCAAGGACCCACAGACCCCAGGAAATCAAAGAAGCTTAAGGGCTGCAAATATTTCACCTCTCCAGTGCCTCTAATACATAGGTGTATGGGTACAAACCTCTGACTCTTGCTTATTTAAACTCTGAGCTATTTCAGTAGGGAAAAATCCAAGTACCCAGTAGTTGATAAATGCCCTCAAATAGCCTCAAACGATAGTCATTGTGTCCCTCTATTAATTTGCTTTCAAAACAAACTTTGCTATCTTGTAAATATGTACATGTATACACACACACACATACACACACACACATACTCATATCATCAAATATTTGAATGTATTAACTTGAATTTCTTCCTATTATTATGTACCTGGTTCTGGCAGATTCTGTTTCCTTGTTCATTAGAATTACCTCTACTGTAAATATACCTAAGTCTGACAGTATTTCCCTTTATAATGAAGCCAGCAGTAGAACAACTTACAGAAATAAGAGCTAAGTCCCCCAGCAAGTGTCTAAGGAAAGGAAGCATCTCACTGGCTGACCATTTCCATTTTAGGACTTCAACCTAAGTTTCCCTTGGGGCACTCAGCTGACTCATGACCACAATGGTAATGACACTCTGTGCTTAGAGTCAACTGTGCTCACAAGCCTTTTCTTCACAAAATTCAACTTTATTATAGAAATAATATGCCTTCCCAGTGACAAGAGGAAAAAGCTCTTTAATAGCACACATGCAGCCTTGGCTAATACCCAAGAGAAGCCAGCCTCTAATAGAATGCTTTACTATTTTATATGCACCTGAGGCCTATACATTTCACATATGCTATCATCTACTCTCCCCCCAAATAAACCTCTTAGGACCCGGCTCCAGGTTAGATTTTGAACAGCTTAAACAGAGATGGGAGAACTATACATCTAGCCAGTTAGGCAAATGGGAGATTTTCACAACAAAGAAAATGCTAAAATTATTTTAAGCACTCTAGTGTTGTAATTTTTCCAAGTAGTTGTTTCCCAGGTTCATCTTGTCCAATTGGCAGAATTATGCTTTTCTTGGGAAGAGATCCAGGGGCTTTATGGCAGGCCAGGACTTACACTGCTGTGACCCTGTATGCCCCTGTGAGCATCCTGTTGGAGGTACCTACTTTGGTGACAGGTGTGATAGCTGGTCAGTCCTTGTGAACACTTACATTCTATAAACTTTGCTATCTCTGTCAGGCCTGGTTAGTTACTTATCTTTGGAGTATTTTGGAGGCAGCACTTCCTCAGCTAAATTCTACTTGGTATGATTAATGTCTCCTAAGCAAATGTATGAATAAATCCTTCATAACACCAATTCTATTACTTTGAGTTTGTCTTACACCAGTATTTCATTTGTATTTTTCTTGTCTAGCCATTGTGCTGTTGGTGTTTGAGATGTTAAGTGTAGAACTTTCATGTTTACCTCCAAGGATGCCATCCTGTTTCTGTAGGTCCATACTCCCAGGATCCCAGCCTAAAACCTCTCATTTCTGAGTCCCTCCCTCACCCTCTGCCACCTCTCCTGAATTCTCTTGGAAACAGATGTTGAATAGATGAATGTGGTTCAAAACTCATTCTGGATTGTCCACTCTGTACCAGATGATACAGTCCTTTACTCTCAAAGGGCCTAGTCTAAAATGAAGGATACTGAGATTCGTCCTTTTCTTGCTGTGTGCTACAAGGAAAGGTGGAGGGCTGAAGGAACACAGCAAGGGCATCTCTTCTCCTTTGTGGAATGTGCTCAGGACCTGAGTCAGAAAAGAGAAACATCAGTTATTCAAGAAAACAAGGAAAGCAATGTGGATCCTGAGAGAGAAGGAGCTTTTCAGAGCCTAAAGGCTGACTGTGTATGTGTGCAAGGGGTACAACTGGAGGCTGAGGTTGCATGAGAGCCCATCCAGAGACCAGAGGACTGAAAAGAGTTCAGGTCATGAAGGTCTCATTTTCTAAAGAAGCAATACATTACAGCTAGAGAGATAGCACGGTTGCTTAGAGCACCTGCTGTTCTTCCAGAATACCTAGGTTCAATTCCCAGCACCCACACCTGGCAGCTCATAATCACTCTAGCTTCAAGTTACCTAACACTTTCTGTTTCTGACAAGGTGCTCATGCATGTGTGCATGTGTGTATGCACGTACACACACACACACTTAAAAATTAAAACTAAAGAATCAGCATATCACTTCTTCATTCATGAGTGCTTGTCAAGTTTCCTCTACAAGTTGAAATTAATCCTTTATATAACTTGCCTTTTTTTTTTTTTTTTGACCATTCGTCAAGCTTAAAATCTATTCTGATTGCCCTCTGTAGCAGTCTGTGACCACAAGGACATGGTAGAGAGAGATCACATGAAAATACAGACTCTCTATCACCCAGCCCACGAGTCCACCCCTACACCCTCACTAGGGGTAAATACGGGGGTGCTGTGACATGACATGACATGACATGACATGACATGACATGACATGACATGACAGTTATTAGGAAGCATGTTAAAGTTCTTTTCAACTCTTTTGTGATTTGATTTCTAGAATCTACTTTTTAAGATACTGTCTACCTCCATCCAATCTGTAGATGTCACCCATGTAACTCTCTGGTGCTTTGAAAGTTGTCATTACTGACCTAGTGATTGCACCTAAAGTTCTTCCAGGGACACCAGCAGATAGAAAGTCTGGTCTGTAGACAGGACTGTTCTTACTCCTTCGGGTGCTTTCATGGTCATTTCCAACAGAAATATGATTCTTCTTGATGGATGTCCTGAGTTGCCGTCTTAATAACTCTCTTTTTGCATAAAATAACTCCCTTTCCACTCAGGGCTGAACCTGGTTTCCAACTCTCCTTAGCTGCCTTTCAACAAAGAGAACAGACTGTTTACCAGAAGCCAGACAGTCCCTGATCCCATACTCCCGTTCCTTTCTTTCCTCTTTTAACCATACACCAGTTCATCCCAGCAATTGGATTATTGTGTTTTTCCTCTGGAGGCAGCTGACTCTAAAGCAATCTTTCTTATTCTTGGCACCTTTTTCATGATTTTTAGTTTATTATTTTCAATAGCCTTTTGTCTCAATTCCTAGGAGCAGTGTGAAAGTAGATCTCAGGTATTGATCTTTTTGGAAGCCCTGATCCCTCTCTTCTCTCACAGCTGTCCTTGAATGTCTCAAGGCTCCAGCAGCAATTAACGTGAGCACCTCCTACTCAGTAGTCTCAACCTCTTCCCTGCTGCCCTTTCTGGTCTCATCTCTAGACCCTAGTTCTCCCACCACCCTCCCCAGGAGTAATGTAGAACTCTGCTAGCTTAACAGAGTGACACTTGGATTCAACAATAGCTCTATAGTCTTTGGAACAATTACAAGTTTATGCTTCCTGAAATGACCCCCAAATACAGGGCAGTTCCATTTAAACACATTCAGAGCCAAAGCAGTATACAGTATGGCAAGTTTGCTTGTGCACATGGTGGGGGCTGGGGCATATTTTAAATGGTCCTAGGAAGAGCTCTAGGGAGCATAGGAGCTAAAGGTAGGCAGAATGCTGAACTGACAGGTAGAAATGATAGCTGTCAATTTCACCTTATTCTTATGCAATATAAAGTTATATCTTTTGATTAAGATGTAATCTGTCATAAGTATTACATTTTTCAAACTTTGTGGTTCTACTCTTTTCTTTAACTATAGGGAGCACCAGGTACCCCCGGTCTTCCCGGAGTCAGAGGTGATCCAGGATTCCCCGGGTTTCCAGGCATAAAAGGTACTATTTTAACACCATTGCTCTTACATACAAATACAACTGCCACTCAAATCACATTTGTAAAACCACATGTCACCTTTAATGAACTCTTATGGCCACCAGAGACAGTAGGAGCAGAACAGACAGGACCTCAGTGTGAGGACCTACTAACAGGTTTCAGTGTGAGGCTAGGGCACTGAACCCTGTGGGTTCAGATGAAAACTCCAACAGAAGAATGGAAAGTATGGGACAATTAGAGACCATTGAGAGTGTTACCTTTGGGATTTTAAAATGTATTGGGATGGGGGCAGCACACTACATCAATACTGACAGAATCTTTTTTAAGTTTTGGCCATGAACATTTAATTTCATAATTTGGAAAGTTAAAAAAAAAGTCTTAATAGTCTCCAGCCCATTAGTTCTGGTAAAGTGAATTTTATGCACAGATTTATACATTTGTGTTTTATAAGGTTTATTCATTTGTCATGATAAGGACTGAACTTAAAGCTTCATACGTGCTGGACAAGTATTTCTAACATTGAAATCCATGGCATTATATCCTTAATATTGAATGTAGTGTGATATGCCAGGCAGAGGCAAGAGGATCAGTAGAAGTTCAAGGCCAGCCTACTCTATATTGTGAATTCCAGGCCTTCCAGAGCTATGTAGTGAGATTCTTTGGGGGAGGGAGGTTGTAATGTAAAGCAAACAGATTTTTATTAGATTCATTGGTTAACTGATCACTCCCCTGTTCTGAGATTTATAAAGGCAGGAATCTCTTCTCACAGCCTGTAGAGATAAAGGCATGTACAACCTTTGTTTTCTTTGTTTCTTTCTTACAATTCCTCCTCCTTCTTAGGAGAGAAGGGTAATCCAGGATTTCTTGGGTCAACTGGACATCCAGGACCAGTTGGGCCACAAGGACCACCAGGTAACTAGATCTATTTCTCAGTTGTTGTTCTCTATAAAGAAAGAGTAGTTCTTTCTTTATAGTTCATGAAGTCATATTCTCATTGTGTTTATATCCATAGGTCCACGTGGAAAACCTGGCACACTTAAGGTCATCTCCCTTCCCGGAAGCCCAGGGCCACCTGGTGCACCCGGACAGCCAGGAATGAAAGGAGACCCTGGACCCCTGGGACCACCAGGAATTCCAGGTATGGTAACACCATTAACCTAGACTTTTAAGAAGGGTGAATGAAGAAAATCTGTAAAGTGTTTGGAAGCAGATGATAGAACGCCACAGAAAACACTAAACACCCACCATGTTTTGTACAGCCAATTTGGGATTGGGCTCATTTACCCTGACCAGCAGAAAAAAAAAGCTTAGATCCTTGTAAAAACATCTGGACATAGTACAGAGTAGGAAAAACACATGCTGCATTTCATTTTTATTAAGAGAAAAGTATCTTATCCATCTCCTTTGGCAAACATTATCTTTGGGCTGTAATTTTTAAATGAATATCTGACTATAACTGTAAATGAATATCTGAATAATATGATGTAATAATAATAATATATAATGTGAATATAAATGAATATCTGACTATAACTTCTGTAAATGTGGACTCTTCTACAATTTGTACACCAAAGTGTTAGGGAAAAATGACTTTAAAGTCTTTTCAGACTGCTAATATTTTAAAAGTGAACCTAACCCTTCACATAGTCTTAGCATATTGCAATAGATTTATGAATAGGACTCTTGTTCTTTAACTTTGTCTGAATCACATGAGAGATAAGAGAGGTATTACTTCCTGGTTTGATCATGTCATGGGCATAGTGATTTCTGGAATAAAGTATAGCAGCACACACTTTTATATAGTAAAGGTTTCTTACTGCCTTTGGGGGAAATTAGTGAACAAACATGCCAGTTAGCTCAAGATTGACAGCCTTCCTGGGATGTCTATCTTGGCTGGTGAAACTGCAGAAGTCCTGTGCTTACTTGGATGGGTGGCAGCCTGACCTTTTATTATGATGACATGTAATATAACAGTGCCTTCTGTCTAGGACCCTGTGGGCCAAGAGGTAAACCAGGCAAGGATGGGAAACCAGGAACTCCAGGACCAGCTGGTCAAAAGGGCAACAAGGGCTCAAAAGGACAGCAAGGTAAATACCCAGCTTGCCTCCCTGGTTAAAGCAGTATCGTTTCATTGTCCAGAGGGAACTCGTTTATACATGTGATCATATGACTGCAAGAAAGAATGAGTACTATGGGTTTTCCAGTTAGTTCTATTGTTCAGGTTAGAACAAAGGCAGGGTGCCAAAGGAGGAGGAGTCACAAATGACTGGAATACACTGTTCATTCTGCCCTGGGAAGATGGACTCTTAATTTTTAGTCAAGGCAAAAATCTTTGGCTAAGAACTAATAGAACAGTTATTATCCTATTTTCAGAAAGGCGAATTGCTTTTTATCACCACAGAAGTTATTTTGGCTAACAATTTCTTATAGGAACAGTATGACCTGGACCAGCAAGTGGTTCTTCAATGACAGGGTACTAAGTGGAAGGTCCAGGAGATCAGAAGATAAGAAGATGAAAAATTGGGATAGCGAAGTCTTGTATATGCGCAGGCAAGGTTATAAGGAAATACAGCATCTAATGTAATTCTTCTAGGGGAGAGATGGGACAGTGTCAGTGGAAAGGTATCACATAAAAGGAGGAAGAGAGGGAAGCTAACCAACCAATGTTGCACAAAGAGATCATGAAGTATCTCAAAGGCATCAGGGGTTGAGCACAGGGCAGCCTTCAGACTGATAGCCATTGTCCCTTAGAGTGGGAAGAGTTAGGGTCTCAAGAGCCTAAGCCACGGCCTAAGCCTAAGGCCCTGGTCCCAGGCCATTATGGTTCTGCCAAGCACATACCCAGTTTTAGGGAAAGAACTGTGATCCTTCTTCATATGGATGGCAGGGGCATACAAAAAGTGGGGTGAATCACGGTGGAGCCCTGGCCCCAGGTAATTACAGACTCTACCAAGCATATTTCTGCTTTAGAGAAGGAGCTATGTTCTTTCTCTATACACTAGAGCTTCAGGGAATGCTTTGGCTTGATCTAGCTCTCAACAATGATACCTCATGGGTGAATTTTTTGTTATTCTTGTTTTTGTTTTGCTTTTTAAATACTACCCTGGCATGAACAGAACAACTTTGCTTCCTTATTTAGGACAGCTGCCTATTCACTATACTATTTTTGCATACAAGTCAACAACTCAGGTGTATGTTCTACAAAAAGGCCTTTCAAACATAATGTTCTACTTGGAACATAAGCTATGCATATCAGTTTGATAACCTGAATCTAAATCTACCTTCGACAAAAGTCTCAAAGCTCTCCTTTTGGAAAACACTAAAATGGTAACTGCCTGAGGCTACTGACTTGGTTAAAAAAGCATAAATTCCAAGTATCATTTCCCAACTAGGTTAGACATGTCAATTCAAATATGGTACTGTCATGTTAATTGTAATGTTAACCGTTGGATTACTTTTGATTTAGTGTTGCTGGGAATCCACATGAGAGGATGACTACCCATTTGGCTTCATTCCTAATGGGTTTTTTTGTTAATAGTTCTATTAATTTATGTACTTTAATGACCATGGCTGGAAATTATAATGGGGTGATAGCAAGCGCAGGATACTACAATACAAATTGTGTTGGGAACTGACTAGCAAGTAGTCAAATGCTACGGTGGCCTCATAAGATTGATACAAGGATTCAAGCATAGATCCATAGCGAGGCAGCATAGTCTTGCAGGGTGCATATGAACATGAAATCTTGCCTCCAGTTTCTATCCTGATTAGCTAATCCTTTTACAATTGCCATGGAGAGACCAGAAAACATCTGTTGCTTAAGGTCCATATTTGTTATTTTTGCATCATCCTCAAAAGGATAAACATCCTCAAATGGATCAATGTAAGGGAGGAAAGCTTTGTTACCAACAGGAAAGGCCCAGCAGTGACAAGGGCTCAGTTTGTGACAAGAGAAGCAGCTTTCACCTCTTGGTGAGTCAGCAAGCAGAGAAAACTAGAATTGCTGGCAGGTAAAATCTTCAAAGGCCGATGACCCCGGGTGACGACTTCTACCAGCCAGGCCCCATCTCCTAAGGACCCACAGCCTTTAAAATTCTGCCATGAGTCAAAGAAGGAGTGAGCACTCAAGGCATAAGCCTCTGAGGAACATTTTGGTTCAAGCTATAACAGGGCATATTACAGCCTCTGTGGAGTAAAAGCAGAGATTGGGAAAAGAAAAGAATGTGTCTGCCTCCTATGTATTAAAGTCAAGGCAAATGTGGACTTTTGAGTCTCTAAAGAAGAGAGGGAGGGACAGGAAGAAGGGGAAAGGACATAGTTCATTGAGTTTTAGTTAGAAAGTGACAAAAGAGAAATCCACTTCTCCATTTGTACAGAGAAGGCAAAGCATAAATGCCACTCTGTTTGCAACTCTTTCAGTTAAAGTAAACAACCTTGTTAAACTAGAAGTCTTTGCCTTGCTAATGGGACCAAAACTTTCTTCAAAGTTTGCACCTCTAAAAAAAAGCTTTCAAAGTTTTACATCATTGTTTTCTGAATTTACCAAAGCTTAGCAATTATTATTACCTACATGAACAGCTTTATACATTGTAGATATTTTATTTGATCTTAGGCTCCCATATACATACACATTGTAAGCCAAGCCACTCATTCATTCATAAAAAAAGTATATGTGAGGCCCAACAAATTAAATGCAGGACACTATGCCACTATGCCAGGCATCCCAAGGGAATTCAAAGATGAGGGAAGACCTGATATAATAATAATAATAATAATAATAATAATCATAATAATAAACATTAACCAGTCTATATATAACAAGATGCATCCTGTGATAAACTGGTTAATATTTAAAATTATTTTCCCATTGTATCAGTTATGTTTGTGTCACTGTGATAAAACATCTGCTATAAATAACGTATAGAAGAAAAATTTTATTTTGGCTCCTGGATTCAGAGGATTCAGTCCATGGTTGGCTCTAAACTTGGATGCTGTGACATGGAAGAGTGCTGCTCACTGCATAAGGGACAGAAAGTGGGGAAAGCTATATAGAAGGGGCCAGGGCAAGATACAGTATCCAAGAACAAACCCCTACTTCCTACCTCTCACCAGCTTACCATAAAGTCATTATCTAGGAACCCATTAAGGAATTAGTCCATTCATTAGAACAGAACCTTCACGATCTAATCATCTCTGGAAAAGCCTTCACATACACATTCAGGTATATCTTACTAGTCTCTTAAGTGTTTCTTAATCCACTTGACAATTAAAATAAAACATCATAGTCATTTTATAGCCCACTCTTCTCTAAGATTCCTTTTCATACTTGAGGTTTACCAGCCACATAAACACATTTAAATTAGTACTTTAGAAGGCAAGTTTGAGGGTCTGGTCATGTTGCAACATGTATAATTTGTTTTTCAAAGGCCCACCTGGTCTGGATGGATTGCCAGGTTTAAAGGGAAAGCCTGGAGACAGGGGAACACCTGCCACTGGGACAAGACTTCAAGGCTTCATCTTCACCCGACACAGTCAAACCACGGCCAATCCTTCATGTCCTGAAGGAACACAGCCACTCTATAGTGGGTTTTCTCTTCTTTTTGTACAAGGAAATGAACGGGCACATGGACAAGACCTTGGTAAGGTTCTAATTTCCGGGCAGTTTACAATGCAGAGTATAGACTATTTATAGGTTGGGAGCGTCCTCAGAAGGTCACTGTAAACAACATTAACATCTTCTGGCACATTTGAGAGAACAACGGTGGTCCAAGGTTTAGTTTTCCCCTTGATGTATAAACTGCTAGTGGAAACTCAGCGAGGTTCAAACCATCTACCTTCCGTCAGTCCTCAAATTCATCTTTTCTAAAGCTTCTCCTGCTTGTTTGCTATTATGAATATCTGGAGGTAGCTGAAGCAAAGACATTGTCCCAACTGAACAACATCAGGTCCCAGGTTTCATCCAAGAAGGTTAGAAAGAGGCATAGAAAGCATTCTTAGTAGGGGAGGGTTGGTATACTCACTTGAGATTTTGACTTCCATCCTAAAGCTTTATATTACCACAGAATTCTTTTGGTTTGTTGTTGTTTTTATTTTTGTTTTGTTTTTTTGGTCCAGGTTTGCCACAAGTTATGTGATAATTAACCTGTTTCTAAGTGATGAGAGTCAGAGTCACTTATAATTTACTGAAGTGATACTCAGCTTCCTGTTTTATTAGGTACTCTGGGCAGCTGCCTGCAGCGATTCACCACAATGCCATTCTTATTCTGTAACATCAATAATGTATGTAACTTTGCATCACGGAATGATTATTCATACTGGCTGTCAACACCAGCTCTGATGCCAATGGACATGGCTCCAATTACTGGCAGAGCTCTCGAACCCTATATTAGCAGGTAAAAACTCAATCCCTGCGTTTTACAAGAGGATCAAGTGAATCACTAAACTAAGTAATGCAATGGTAGAAAGTGGCTATCATACTATTGGTCTCATTTTACAGATGTACTGTCTGTGAAGGTCCTGCAATGGCCATAGCTGTTCACAGTCAAACTACGGCTATCCCTCCATGTCCCCAGGGCTGGGTTTCTCTCTGGAAAGGTTTTTCCTTCGTTATGGTAAGAAGAAAACAAAACCTTAGCACATTTCAAATAATGAATAATGCCCCTAGAATCTTGGGCTGTGTTGAGAAAATGGGGCCCCCTACCTGCTAATAGATGTAAAATGCTATAGATGGCTGGAGATCTGAAAATACACTTAAAGAGCAACATTGAGGCTGGGCATCATCTCAGCAGTGTTTACAGAGAATGCACAACATCCTAGGTTCCATTCCCCAGCAGTGTATAGAACTGAGTAATCCCAGCATTCAGGAGGTAGGGGCAGAAGGGTCAGAAGTTCAAGATCATCCTTTGCTCCATAACAAGTTTGAGGCCAGCTTGGGCTACAAGAAACTTAGTCTCAAAAAAATAAAAACACTAAAAAACAAAACAAAACAAAGCAAAAAAAGACCGACAACTTTGATGCTGTTGATAAGTAATGAAATGTTGAATAAAAGACAGCAAGATGACTCAGTGGGTGAAGGCATTGCCACCAAGCCTGATGACCTGAGTTCAGTCCCTCTGACTGGCATGGTGGAAAGAGAATCAGCTTCCCCAAGTTGTCCTCTGACCTCCATACATGTGCATGCATGTGCAAACACACACACACACACACACACACACACACACCTCAGATTTCCCAGAAATCCCTGACTGTAGCATTCAACTGAGAAGTAGCTACTCTATTACAAAGATGGGGTGCCCCTTTGTTCTTTTTTTTTTTTTTTTTTGGTTTTTTTGAGACAGGGTTTCTCTGTATAGCCCTAGCTGTCCTGGAACTCACTCTGTAGACCAGGCTGGCCTCGAACTCAGAAACCCACCTGCCTCTGCCTCCCAAGTGCTGGGATTAAAGGCATGCGCCACCACCACCCGGCCCCTTTGTTCATTTTTGTGATGGTTTCTTTGCCTACATTGTCAGTGATGCTTATTATGATAATCAGAGGAATATTTTTAAGCATCTGAGGATTCATAAATAAAAACAGAGCTATCTTAAAGTATCACATTTATGAAGTGACAAAATGTACCTTGAACCATGCCCCTCTGATGCTCCTATGGGGAGGAGTCTCTTTTAAAAGGTTCTGGCATTTGTGCTAAATTTGGGATACAGACGGACCATCCAGTGCTGACTGCTCTGTGTACCACTATTTACTCTCTGCATATTTATTCCTTGTTATGACATATTATTCTCCCTCTTTACACACAGCTGTCCATTCAATCATTAATTAGTTAAAAAAACTAGTTATTTAACACCAATCAATAGATCAACAGTTTATTTAACACCTGGAAGATGCCCTGAGTGTTACATCTAGATAGAAGGGAAGACATCTATCTGTGTTTTCTTGGTTTTTCTTTCTTCTGTTGCTTTATATTAATGCTTCCTACCCATGAAAAATGTGGAAAACTTGTATTTGAACTACAATGGGCAGCATTTTCATTGAGATCTTTTTGTTGTGACAGTTCACAAGTGCAGGCTCTGAGGGTGCTGGACAGGCACTTGCCTCGCCTGGCTCCTGCCTGGAAGAATTCCGAGCCAGTCCGTTTATAGAATGCCATGGACGAGGGACATGTAACTACTACTCAAACTCCTACAGTTTCTGGCTGGCTTCACTAAACCCAGAAAGAATGTTCAGGTAACTATGTGACGTAGGCCTTACTCTGATAACTGAGCCTAGAACCACTCAAAGGCTGCCTACATCTGCCTTTTATTTGTGCCTCTGTGTTGATGTACTCAACTCTCTCAGTCTTGACAATAAAATCCTGTTTACCTTCATCCTCCCAGGTTAGAGGTATTTTGAAGTCAAGAAGTAGAGTCTATTTCTCACCATGTCAGTAAAAACCAAATGTACACGTGAGTTTGTTATCACTAAGCATATTCAACACATGTATGGATTTATAGGAAAATACTGAAAAAAATACTAGCTGATCTGCTGATGTTAAGGACTTAAGTCTTCTCTTTGAAGACTTAGGAGTATTTAAAGGGAAGAAATAGTTTTAAAAATGAACTTGCAGGGAAAGCCTACGTTCTATGAATTCTAATGAAACACACTGAAAACATAAAATACCAATAATTGTTTATATATACAAACATAAAATTATCTTTTCAGAAATTCTCTTCTACAAAGAGGGGTGTTTCTGGAATAAGCTAAAATCAACTACAATATTTATTAACAAAACTAAAAGCAAGTAAGTATTGTATTTTATCCACAAATCAATGAGGCCTTTCATTTGTGTTTATTTCAGAAAACCTATTCCATCAACTGTGAAAGCTGGAGACTTAGAGAAAATCATAAGCCGCTGTCAGGTGTGCATGAAGAAAAGACATTGACGAAATCAAAGAAACTAGAACCGCTTTTTGTTCCTTCTTAAGTAACAAAGTCATGACTTAGAATGTGCATCTACTTAGGTCTTTCTCTCTAACCTTAAAGATGTGGTAGTCCAAAGTTTCACCACATGAGAAAGCATTTCACTCAAGATAGTCTGTGATGTGGGTCTCTAAACCTGTAGGTTTCAAAGTCCCCTGTGGAAAGGCAACAGGTTTCCACAGAATATCACTGAAGTCACATTCCAGTTGTACCAAAGCGCTGACTAAATGATGATTGTGTGGAACTTGAACTACAAGCTAAGGGAGGTCTGGTCCTGTGGATCCACAAAGTGTTTCTTGTCTCCCACTCCTGAGAGAGCAAGTGTGCTTCCTTCCACCTCCTCCCTGAGACCTTAGACTTCAGCTAGAGAAGGAGATGGGGGCATACAGAAATTAAGCACACCATGAAAAGAACTGGAGGGTCGGAGCTGTTGAGTGATATAAGGGCAAATAACACAGGATAAATGAGCCCCTTGATGTTCCAGGACTCATTTAAATATGCCCAAAGCTAGGACCAAAGGAAACTTCCTGCAGGGAATCATAACAGGCTTGGAAACAGTATAGTTTTGTTTTCTGTTTTGTTGACTATGTCTATTTGCTTGCTCACTGAGCTCTTTTTACTATGTTAATAGATTCAAAATGGGTAAAACCGTTACCTTTAGGGAACTAATTTTTACTGGATGTCATACACATACACTGAAACATTTCTCTTCATTGTTTTCAATGTACTCACAAGCAACAAGGACACTACTTACTAAATGTGCACTTTATCCTCACTTCTATAAACACTGACCTTAAATTATTTCACCAGGGAAAATATGTGAGACATTTGCTGGTTTATCAGATCCAAAACCTTTTTCTTTGCTCCAAATAGTTCATAACATGGATTTACAGATTTGTTCCTCTGTTAGTTTTTTTTTTAACTTTTCCTTTAGAAAACACACACGTACCCCATGTTTTTTATGTTATATATTCTTACCAACCATGTGGAGAGAGACCACTGTGTACTGTACTGCACACAGCTGCTATCCTGTCTTAAAACGTGTTTTTAAATATGTAGATACATTCCCAAGTTACTTAATTCAGCTTAACAAGTTATTTTCTCCAGTACCAAACTATGTCCCACATACTGTAGTGGGGAGGAGGTACATGGGGTAGTGAAAGAGACTTGCTTCTGATCTAACCTCAAAGGCAACAAATTTTCTGTGTAAAGACTCTCCACACTGCTACTGGTTCACAGAAGCCTGTTCCAGATGATCCGACATCCACATCTGGCCTCTACATCCACTCTCAGCCAGATACAAAAAAGTTCTAAAATTTTTAAAGTAAGATCTATGCCCAGGCTAAGTTCAAAACCTCTAACTTCTCTTAGGTACCCCAAAAGCAAAAGTCTGAAAAATATTAAGAAATCAGGCACTTTTTAATAATCAAATAGTGTAATACTATCTGATGACTCACAGAGGCATTGTGAGGCAAAGCTTTGAGTGTATTTCTTGAACCACTGAAGTGGACGTGATGGTGCTGATACTTAAGTTCAGACTGGTGCTGTAAGCTCAACTGCTTTGTATTGAAAAATGTTACCCAAGAGCACAGACAAGGGTTGACATTCTTCACCATTCATGTGACTGCTACAAGACATTTTTACACCTGAGCTGAGACATGCAACATCTCATTACAAGTATGTATTTCAGCTAACATTTCTGTTTGAAAAATATCCTACTGTCCCACATACATTCCAGTAGTGAATTATGAACTAATCTCCTTGGCCAGTGTGATCCTGAGTAGGAGCAGCAGCTGTAGCATCCAGGGACTTGTCATAAATGCCCATTCTAGAGCATTCTAAACCTACAAAATTCAAAACTGTAATTAGACAACAGAAATCTGTATTTTGTTTCAATGAGAAGCATCTCTTAGCATAGCCCAGGCTGACTCCCAAATCACCACAATTGTTCTGACTCAGCCACCCAGAATTTTGTTTTAAAAGTTTTCATCATCCTCTGGCATTCTCCACTAGCTAGGCACACACCCAAGAAACTGGCCACAAACCTTTCACCTTTGCCTCTTTTAAAAACTCACTGGTAACTTTCAGGGTAATCTATTTCACTACCAGACTGGTGCTGATATCAAACAGCTGCCCTTCATTTGCCGCTAGGCCTCTTTCTTCTCCTGTCCTCTTATCAGTATTTAAGACAGGTAATACTGAACACCTAAAGCCCAAAGAAGCCATATCAACTCAGTCATTTGTACTTCTAAGAGTGAGCAGTAACATGCGGCCCAGGTATATTACTTCTCAGATGTTTATGAGTAAATTATAAATTTAAAATTCAACTTCATATATGGCTGGAGAAATGGTTCAGTAGTTAAGAATGCTGTCTGGTCTGCAGAGGACCCAAGTACAGTTCCCAATACCCAGGTCAGGCAGGTCAGAACTGCTCCAAGAGATCCAGCTGGCCTCCAGGGGGCACCCACACACAGGTGGCATTCACTAGCACAGGCGCTGCCACATAAATAAAAACAAATCTTTAAACATTTTTAACTGATTAACAAAACGTTTGTTTCAAATTTGGTGCTTCAACTTTGGAATTTCACAGTGTGCTAAAACAACCAACTTGTCAACTGTTTTATTTTTCGAGATAAAACATTATTAATTTATTTATAGAAGTATTAAGAATGTTTAAATTTGAATTTTATTGGGTAATTTTACAAAAGGTTTCTATATTTCAAATGTAACTTACTACCACTAAACTTAATTTAATATTTTTCTCTATAACCACTTGAAATTTATTTAAAATATATCACATATTTTATATTGTTATATCCTGACAAAGTTATGATATATTACAATGTACTAATATTTCTGTAAATATAACAAAAGTTCTATTGTTTTGTCAAAATAAAATAAAAAGAACAATTCTATCATATCTTTGGGTTTTTTTTTTCTAATGGAAAGAAGTTTATTTTGGACTGTAAAAATAATAGTCACTATAAAAGCAATATGCAACTTTGAAATTAAGGAGAACATCAACGCTGCTACTGTCTAACATTCATCTTCACTGAAATAACCTTCAAAATAAGATAGTAAAAGGTAACGATAGTATTCTGAATCTTGATGCCTAAAAAATGTAATCTTGCCATAAATGAGAAACAGTAACTGAAGAATGTCTGAATTGAAAAACGGAAACATTTTTGGATGTAAAACCCATTCAGGTTTAATCATTAATAGGAAAGAGAAATAGCAATGGCTAGAAGTCACACATCAGGATGAAGGTAAACTAAGTGGATGAGATTATTTGGATTTATATGTTATGGGGGTTTAGAAAAAGCCAATGACATCAAGTCATAAACAGAAAAGTCCACAACAGTGAGAGAAGAAAAGGAAGACCCAGCATGAATCTGTAAAACAGACAGGACACAAGAAGGAATAGACTTTCCATGTGCATGGGGGAAGCACCATTCATGTCACATACCTTTTTTTTTTTTTAAGACTATATCACGCACTATTAGGTACTCTGACATTCTGTGAAATACTATCTTGTTTAATAGACTCAGATGATGCCTGAAGATAAATGATAAATCAGGGCTACAAAAGAAGATCTGGGTTTGATAACTGAATTATGGATCTTTATTTAAAAGTCATTTCAAAACTTTAAAAAGAAGGGTCTAGGGACAAAAGAAAAAGCAATCTGCAACATTTAAGAAGTGCTAATGGAAGCATTAAGACCTTTGATAGGTTATCCTTCTGCCACTGGTGAAATGAACCTATTTAAGACAGATTAGATTATATCAAAGGCAAATTTATTGGGAAGCTGCTCTCTGGCAGGTGGGCAAGTTCACTGGTCCCAAGGACTGAGGCCAAGGAAGTCGCCATGGGGAAAGGGAGAGGTAGGAGAGAGAAAGAGGGAGAAAGAAGAAAAGAAAAGGAGAGAGGGGGAGAGGACGAGGGAGAGGACACATTTAAAAGTCTTGATAATATATGATCTACCTAGCTTAATCCATACTTTCCCCCAAAGGCCCTGCCTTGGAATGACAGAATAATATTATTTAATCTGTCCATAAAGGAGAATTATTTGTCACTATTAAGTAGCAGGACACACCACCCACAGTAGGCCCCTTTGAAATAAAGATTATTTTGAGACAAAGGCACTTAAAAAAGTATCTTCTCACATTTTTACAATTTACTACAATGGTCAGCTTCTGATACAGATTATAGATCCCAAGAACTTCTTTGGGTCTTCATTTTTCTATACTCCAACATACAAGCAAAAATTACTAATTAAAAGTTGTATGCTTCCCTCCTGTTCACCTGCTGTTTCATGCTAATTTAATTGGGGGCTCACTGTGACCTTAAGAAGGTAAAGTGAAAGTTTACTTATCTTACACCAATATTAGGAAGGACACACAAGAGTGAAATTCAGAAAGCTTGACACATTATTTTGAAGGGAGATAACATTTCTGGGGTATCATCTGAGGTTTTGTTTGTTTGGGGTTTTGTTGTTGTTTTGAGACAGGATTCATTATGTAGCGCTGGCAAGCCTGAAACTCCCCCTACCCTCTTACCTCTGGTTCCTTAGTACTGTGGTTCTAGGAATGAGCCAAAGATTGACTTTGGAATATTTTTAGATTCAAGACTATATCACTTGAGTAAATACTCTTCCTTTGCACAAGGAAGTGAGAAATTTATCCCAGAATCACAGGTCATATCTACATGCTTATGTCTCATATAAAAAATAGCTTGATGGTGCAGGTAACCTACGCACATCCCCCCAAACACTTAAAACTGCCTCTAGATTACATATATCTAAACCAGTACTGGGATTTCTAAAGTGTGGCACCAGGTTCAATTATACTATGAATAGATTGTAAGAAAAAACTTCTTTAACCCTGGTTGGTTAACTCCAAGAATGGGACACAGTGGATGAGGTTGCTAGGTTGGGAAAATCGAAGCACACATTGTATTTCCTGATTGGGCTTCTGATCTATCCTTCTATGAGCAAGCCTGGTTCTTGCTTTCCAGCTTTGGCCTTCCGGAAGGGAGCCACAAATTGGGTATTTAGATTTGAAAGAGATTTCTGACCCCTGTTGTCTTGAAATCCAATTCAGGTTCCCCTTTTCTCGGATTTTTAATTAGTAAGTTTTAGGGAAATCAAAATTAGAGTGCTTAAGAATTAATTCTAGCCGGGTGGTGGTGGCGCACGCCTTTAATCCCAGCACTTGTGAGGCAGAGGCAGGCGGATTTCTAAGTTCGAGGCCAGCCTGGTCTACAGAGTGAGTTCTCTAATATTTAGTTATATATGCAATTAGCGGGCCACCATAATTTTTATTCAGGCATTCCTTTAAAACAGGTTATTAGTTTACATTGAGAACGCGAGGCTCTTAAAGATCGCAAAATCTAGAAATTACCCCCAATAAGAATCACCTGAGGGGGGAGTTCTTTGCCCACAACAAAAATGGCTCCTCGTCGACGTCTCACGAATCTGCGAGCAACATCCGCCCTTCCCTTGTCACATGATCAGGAACCTACTTCCGCTACGGCTCCTGGAAGGGGCCAGTCTTGGCCGTTCTCGCGTCTGTCCCGGCCCGCCGCGGCCGCTCCGCCGCTTCTTTGCCCGGGCGCCTCGGTGCGCTCGGTCAACGGCCTCTGCGAGCGCTCGCCCGAGCGCCCCGGAGCCGGCGGGCGGCAGCCCTCTCTCCGGGGACTCTCCAGCAGGCCCAAGGTGAGTGCTCTAGTCTCCCCAAGCTAGACTCCGGGCCTAGCGCAGCGGCAGTGACACCCCCCTCCGAACTGGGCGGAGCGGCCCCGGCCTTGGCCGGTCCTGAGGGCCCTGCCCGGCAAATATTTGGGGCCGGCCTTTTCTACCTCGGCATCTTGTTCTGTGGAAGAAAAACAGAATTTTACTCACAAGACGAAAAACACCTATTAGTTTGGGGTTAGGAAACGGAAGGAAGCCTGTGAGCTTGGATCTGGGCGTTTTCGGGCATCTCTTCCACGGGTCCAAGCACCTCGCAGTATGACCTTGAGTCTGTCGCATTTAAAATTAACTCTTTGTTTTGTTTAAAATCCGTGTAACTAGAGAAAGGCCTTTAGGAGGCCCGGAGCTGGCCAAAGCATCCTTGCTCGCTGGTGGCGTTGCGGGTTATCCCCCCCCCCTTCACCCCACGCCAAGTAGAGTTCCAGGTTCCCTATAGCCCCTGACCTCCGTTTGCTAATAATTTGTCATTGCAAAGCAAACAAGCAAACAAAAAAAAAAAGGAACCAGCGTCCCAGCCCCACTAGCTCAGGAAGAGGTCGCATTCTCTAGGAAGAGTAGCGCTCTCTCTGAATTGGTGGAGCTCTCTAATTCCAGAAGAATAAAACTTGTGCCTGATAATGCTAAGGAGGCCTCCCGCAGGGAGCCAGTGAATGGGAATGCCCTTTTTCCCTGGTGAGAAGCATTCGTTTCTCCCTCAGTTGCTTGGCTACTAATGAGATTCCCCAAAGAAAAACCTTTAGGGAAAGTCGGACGATTGAGCCCTATTTAGTATTCTGAGCATGCAGTTAGATTGTTTGAGGAGATTGTGTGTGTTTGTGTGTCTGCGTGTGTCTGTGTTTATGTGGAGGAGAGGGTTGTCTAATTTTTGGTTTCGAGGACTTGTGAATTGAGATAGCTTTTCAGTGGTGTTTCTGAGTGTACACATTTTTACTGAACTACTGGGAGGAACTGTGTTGGTTCCCTTCCTGTCTGATAGGGCTGCCTCGTTTTAGGTTTACAAGGTTTCTTCTGTTACTCTCTCCTTACTGTTGTGACATTTCTGTTGTTAACATTCTGTTTGGGGTTCTCTTTATTAAGTTTTTGAGTTGTTTATAAAATTCTAGGTATGAGTCCCCTGCCAGATGTCTACCCAACAAAAAGCCTGTAGAATCTCTCTCCACTCTTAATTTCTTTTTTTGTTTTGTTTTGTTTTTTTGTTTTTTGTTTTTTTTTGTTTTTCGAGACAGGGCTTCTCTGTGGCCCTGGCTGTCCTGGAACTCACTCTGTAAACCAGGCTGGCCTCGAACTCAGAAATCGCCTGCCTCTGCCTCCCAAGTGCTGGGATTAAAGGCGTGCACCACCACTGCCCAGCTTTTTTTTTTTCCCCCACACTTAATTTCTACAGAAACTTTTTATTTTATGTCATGCCATTTGCCAGTTCTTGCTGGTGTTTCTTGAACTTCTTGGAGCCCTTTGCAGAAAGTCCTTGCCTATGCCTGTGCAGCCTCAAGGTTCGGCCTATTTTTCTCTAGTAGATTCAGAGTTTCATCAGTTCCTATATTAGACCATCGACCCACTTTTTTTTTTTTTTTAATTTTGATCCACTTTGACTTAATTTTTCTAATAGTTTTGGTTTTGTTACATATGCTTTTATGGGAACAGCAAGCTTATGGGTTCTAAGGTAGTGTTCCTTAAAAGTAGGTTTTTGTTTTTAAAAATTAAAGCCAGCTTAAAGAAGAAATTGAGTGTAATGTATAGGACCTGATGAAATTGGAAAACTTTACTGATGTTTGGGTGTGGCCTAGAAAGTGGATCTGTGGAATCAGATAGGAGTCTGAGGGAGATTTATCTCAAGTTATACAGCAAGCATGTAATGACGAAAACCGGGGGATTAAAACCTCAGCCCCAAATTAAGTTTGTTATCAAAGAATACCCAAAGTACCAT